TATTACAATGGGCTCCAATCAATGAGCGAGGCTGCCTTAAACTCAGTTCTTGCGTATGTCCCAGAGGCATTAATTTCACCAAGGCTCTCATATGAGTATGGGGGTGGATGGTTGGTGTGGGTGGAGGCAATTGATTCAATGTATCTGAGGCTATGCCAGCAGTACAGAATACAAACACACAGCGATGGGAGCTATAAGAAATGCAGAAGGGGCTACCTGAGTGACTGTAGCCTCTACACATATACATACCCCCGAGCACTGCCGTCACATGTAATAAATCAAACCATTTCCCTTCCAGGTAGTCCTGTTCTTGAATCTAAAGCTGCTTATGAGGAAGGGGACATGAAAAATTGTATTCGTCGATAGTGAGGCATGAGAACACTGTCGCCTCTTTCGTTTTTTCCCACTGTCCTGTCAGCTCATTAGTCGCCCATCTCGCTAAAGCAATAAGGTGCAGATTCAAACTCTCAGTATTATGCTCACACACATAATACGGCAAATTATATGAAGAAAACTTCCACATAATTGGAAGCAAATTCCCCTCCCTTTGTCTGTGTGTTTGTGTGTGTGTGTGTGTGTGTGTGTGTGTGTGTGTGTGTGTGTGTGTGTGTGTGTGTATGTGTGTGTGTGTGTGTGTGTGTGTGTGTGTGTGTGTGTGTGTAGCAGCTCCTCTAAATCTCTCCTACACACAATTTTGGACTTGAGCCACACCCTGGCAATGACATCTAAAAGTCAGGTTCTCAAGTCAGCAACAATAATGGTGAAACAGTAAATCTCTAACCAAGCTGGCAGGAGACCAACCGCTGACATCTATTTTAAAAGATTTTTTAATGAATAGCCTCAACCGAGGAAACAAAATTACATCCTGAATAAATATATTCCTGTAAAATTAAATCTCTTAATAAATGATTTGTAGGGAGAAATCTTTCTGCACAAAGTATGGATGGCAGCGGTGAGGGAAAAAAGCGAATCATGGAATGAATATTGCTGGCCTGATTTCATCCCCCCTTCCTATTTTTCACCAGACGATAACTCATCTATCATCTACGACCCATTAACAACCATCCCCAGTCCAGTTAATACCATCAGGAAGGGAAGAGCCACTCTCTGCCCCCCTGCTGCCGCTAACATAATTGTTATACTTTGGCTCCAGTCAAATGCTGTTTTCCTCTTTGTTACCAATTACCTTTATCTTTGTTAGATGACAGCGTCAATTTGCCTTCAAAGCTGGTCGATGCAAAAAGTGAAAACGGGACTGGCAAAATATGCCTTTGATAAAAGAAAATACATATTGCATATATACTGCTTGGTTGTTGTTGGTTTTTTTTCGTCTTGTGATGATGTGTCAATCAAAAAATGGATTACTCCCATCCCCTGCCTGGATATTGTGTCATATGGGTTACGTACTGCAAATTATAATATTAGCAACACATATTATACTTTATGTAATCATTTAGTATTCTTTTCATTTTTCAAGTATATTTTATATCTTTATTGTCTGGTTTCACTTTACCTCAGGAACCAGTTACTTTTGGTCATGAAACAGAGATTGTGAGCACTTTTTCTTAGCTCTGCCTTTGCATAGGACATACAGTATATTGGTTCTTGGTTACGTGTTATTCTCTCCTGTTCATTACCTCCACTCTACTCCACCTTACATTAAATGCTGTTCATATGCAAATAAATGGATCATTTGCTGTCTGAGGAATATGTGTGTGTGTAGTTTGGTTCAAGCTTGAATTAACCCTGCTAGGTTATGAGCAACATTAAAATACAGTACTGTATAGGCCATTCCTATTCAGCTACAGACAGGTCACACAGGTTTATCCCAATGAGATTATTTATTGTCTGTCTATTATTGACTGTTGTTGAATCCTGAATGCAACCATTTCAGGAACTAGAACTCCTGGTGCACACTTCTCTTCACAATAGTTCCCATTTGGAGCCACGATTGCAGTGTTTCCGAAACATTCATTTGACCTCCACTCACATTCTGGATGCATGCATGAGCTACGTGCATGAATGCGAGTAGAGTACCACCAGGGGTACATGTACCATAGCTTGAGAACCAGCATCTCATAATAGCCTAACACTGACCTGGTTCATCATTTTACATCATAATACCTCACCATCATTGGGTATAATATTGTCCTAACAAGTAACTTAATGAGGCAACAAATAGACGATCCAGGTTTAGAAATATATATTAAAATACAATATGTATTTGATCCATAAATTATGCGTCTCAAGAGATTCATGCACACTTTGATCCCCGATGGCAGATAAAACATCATAAAGGGCTGAGAAGCAGAGTAGCTCAGCTGGTAGAGAGCACAGCAGCCCAGGTTTGATTCCAACCTGCGGCCATTTGCTGCATGTCTTTCCCCCTCACTCTCTCCCCCCTTTCCTGTCCATCGTCACCTGTCAAATAAAGGCATAAAAAACGGCCCCAAAAATATATTTTTTAAAACAAACAAACATAATAAAGTGTCCTCTAGGTTGCCCGTCCAGTGAAAAAAAAACATTGCAGAGCCCTGTACTTCAAATCTTTCCATTTAAACCTAAGGCACATACTAATAAAACAATTTTAATCTTAACCAGGGTTTCGAAGTGTTTCACTAGAAATGCACCACAACTCCCGGCGTGTTAGTGCCCCACCTCATGCAGCTGGTGCCCTTCTTATTTTTGTTCGCCCCTGGTCCTGAGACAGCCTGCGTCCACCACTGTGTGGGAGGGTCTTAGGGACAAAAAAGACTTTGTGTTGTACCTGACAACAGTCAAGAATAAGACTTGGACGTAATAGTCTGTTATATCCAAGTTTTATCCTTGACTGTTATGGGGTACAACACAAAGTCTTTTTGTTGTTCAGTGTTCACACAAAAAAAATTATTGCACGCTGAATAATAGTTACAGCTACCAAGATATACGCTTTACTGAATACCTAAAAATAACTGCACATAGCTGAGTTCTTCTTCCTGGACATGGCATGAAAACAGTTAGCATGTAGAAGGCAGACAGCCATTTATAGTCACATAGTAGTACAACGTGTAGATGCTTCCACTAAAGCTCTACTACACCTTCATCTGTTCCACAACCAGCTCCTCCAGAGTACCCAGGATTTCCACTCTCCAATTACGTAATATTATTTTATCTTTGGCTCTTTACTTTCCTCCCCTCGCAAAACTCTCTCTCTCATCTCCATAGCGACAAACTCTCGTCCATGAAATAATTGTTGGCTCCTGCATCAAATGGTTGTTCTGTGTATCTTTAAAATTTCATAACCTGTGCGTCTGTGCCTACCTTTGGTATACTTAACATAAAAGCCCAAGGCCTCTGACTTTTCTATTTATGTCCTTGGGGGGTTGTGTGCCGCCTATAAGCCGAGTTGGAAGAGGGTTGACTGCACCGATCCAGACAATCTTTTGTATGAAAGCAGGATTGTCACAGTGTAGAGCAGAAGGGGTTAGCCTCACATTCTGGTACCACATAGAAAAACGCTTTATCAGTTTTTTCAAATATAATGATACATAGTAAATGCAATCACTATAAAGGCATTTAAAAACCTATTTTTTCAATTAGCTTTTTACTATCAGCAATGGGTCCTTTATGAACACACTGTTTACTGCCACAGTCGGAACAGTTTTGTTTAATTTACATCAGAGATTTCTGTATTTTTGGTTTTCTCCGTGCTCTTCTCACTGGTTTGAAGTAGGCAGGGGACTAATCATTATTTTGCTACGTTTCAATCAGAAAGGTTTGTCACTGTTAAATTCCTGCCTGAATAAATTATAATTATAAATTATAAATAATACCTAAATATGAGATCATGTCAGTTTCTTGTTATTTAGTCATGGATATTTAATGTTATATAGAAATACTTTAGATTTGAAGCCAAGTTTTCAGGGGCTTTAAGTCACTATCCAGAGACCTGTGCTGCATTGCTTTTCTACCTCGTTTTCTGTCAGCTCTTTACTGTTTACAATCAGCAAAAATACCAAAAATTAACCTTAAAACATGAAAAAGACATCATGATTAGGGCATGTTTTTTTTCTGCGCTCATTGTCCCATAAGCCGGAAGAAACACGTGTCACCTGGTTAGATACAATGTGTTTACTTATTGTTTTATTTTTGTAATAAAACCACTGAAATTTATCTACATGCTAAAATGTAGTGTGACACGAGAAAAAGTCATACATTCAGCAAACAGTTATAGTAATGGCATTCACACAGCAGCAGTCCACATTTAGCAAACTAAAAGCTAACATTGGCCACCACATTGGTCCAAGTGAGGTTATAGTCATTTGCAGAAGGAGGAATGTGTTATAACTTCTTTAAAAAGTTACATAGTTACGCTGTAAATTCCTTTAGAGTTAAACTCTGATAAATGCTTATTCAGCAGTTGATATTTAATGATAAAAAGGAGAACTGAAGATTTAAATGTAGCTCCTCAGGGCCTTTAATGATTGTGGATATTTAGGTTTAGGTATAGAAATTTCTTTAAGAACACAAGACGGCAGAAATCATCTTGTTCAAAGAGAGTAAAATTCAGGCTTGACCTGATTCAATGCACCCTGTTATCTCCCTTAAAATGTCAAGTACCTGAATACGCTGATCAGGGCATGAAAGTACTTATATATATTACGTCCTTGAATCCCAGAGATTAGAATTTCCATTTTAGGCGAAAAGCCTCTGGAAAGCCACAACATCACATGCTGAGTGTCGAAAACTGGAAAGGTTACTGAGCCTTATCTGCAATTATGCAAAAACACAGAGATTGGCCAAACCCATGCTCATTGGTACAAAGGGAATCTACAATGCCTTGATGTTGCTTACAGCATTCTCTTCTCATGTGTAGCATACAGCACATCCTAGAGGAAAATATAGGCAAGAACAGCTGACTATACACAAGTCTCACCTTGTCATGTTTTGAATTATGAACACAGGCAATTAAACTTTAAATCCCCCCTATAGTAAAATGATAGAGAAGGCTAATTAACAAGCATTTTTAAAAATTGATTTTAATTCAGGAGCTTCTCATTTGCACGCAAGAAAAAGAGGAATAGTTTCAGACAACATCTATCTGGTTCAGTCACACCAAGGCTTTGTATTTAATTTTAACACTAAAAACACAGCTTTATTCCAGCACTACAAATAAATATCAAGAAATCTGTAAAGCTTCCCTCTCTTTGACCCTTTTCTTCTATCAGCTACACTGACATGCTGGTAAGATGTTGACAACTCTACTTCTGCACCCATTGTGTCAACTGTTTCATTTTCAGAAAGGTTTTTTTTTTTTTTTTTTTCAGAGGAAGAAAGACTCAGGAAATAAAATTTGGTACATGGGTCACATGGAAAAACCTGCTCTCTTATCTTTTCATCAACACCTGGGAATATAAATAGTTCAGTTTAAAAATAATGGCTTTCATCTTCAATTACGCCTCTGAATATTCAATATGAGAGCAATGGTGCCCCCTTGTGTAAAATATAATTAATAGTCAGATTTTGACATGCAGGTAAGGTAGACTCTAATAGAATCTGATGAGAGAGAGTGCGTGCAAAGCTTAAAGACATACAGGATTTGTTTTACCTGTTATCACCTCCATAGCAGGTTCTGAGTTACAGTGTGCGTTTTGAACATTTTTATTCCACACTCATACAGTTTCCTCTGCAGTAAACTTGTATTGATTCTCTCAGAAGTGCAGGGCACTCCCTCTGTCCGTCTTTAGCCTGCTCTTCAGACCGACTGCAGCTCTACCCTCCGCTGTCAGAGCTCTGGGCACACTGCACTGGCGTGGGCTCAGTCAGGCGGTTGTATGACAGCACCGTCATAACCTGCAAAAATTGAACGTGTGATGTGGATTTAGAGAATAGAAAGTACCAAGCAATGAGTGATGGCTATCATAGACATGCTGAGTTAAGGATTTTATTGGCAAGTAGCTGCTGTTTTTCAGTTTGGCCATGGGAAAGACAAAATGGTTTCTTAAGCCGCAGTTTTGAATAGTGTCTAATGGAGTAGGTACTGAGGAATAAAATTCACATTCTCCAGACTTGCATGTGGCAGCCTATACTGTAAATATGAAGCTACAGCTAGTAGCTTAGCAGGTAGTGACTGTGCACGCAACTCCACAAATCAGTCATTTTTACACTTTGGTATTTGCATAAAGAAAATATAACATGTTAATTAGTGAGCTTTAGAGGTGTTGGTAGGCAGACTAGAAACTGCTATCCTGGCTGTCAGAAGGTCTAAAGCTCATTAATTAACACATTATATCTTTTTGTTTAATTCTGTCATTTATTTTTTGCGTGTTGTTTTTGCACTTCGGGTTGTGCGTGGTTTTTACGATTAAGATGTTTATTAGTGAGCTTTACAGGCGCTGGTAGGTTAATTTTGTTACCTTTGCAGTTTGCACAGAGCCAGGCTGGCTGTTTATTTTGTTTTACCATCTTTATGCTAAGCTATGCTAAGCAGCTGTGTATTTAGTGGACAGATATGAGAAGGGTATTGGGAAGAATAGTCTTTCTTTGCAAGAAAGCAATATTGAGGTTGTTGTATATGAGTTTCTGAACACAAGACAGCTTGCCATTTCCCTGTTCCTAGTCTTTGTGCTGAACTAAGCTGACTAGCCACTGGCTCCCTCTTCATAGTTACTGTACAGACGTGACAGTTGTATTGATCTTTTCGTGTCAGCCTTTCCTAAAATACTGAACTCTCCCTTTGATTAATCATGTTCCCAATTTTCTATCAGTCTGATGCTATTAAATACTCAAATGAGCTGTGCTCTACTTACTGTAATCATTATAAGGAGAGCTAGCATCATGCCCAGCATTATGTACAGATTATTGGTCAATCCTCCTGCCCACAAGGGACCCAAGATGGTGGCCAGGCCCCCAACTGAGCGCCTGACACCTTGGCTGAACCCTTTTGGTGACACAAAGAATTAAAGGTTATTCCTTTCTGCTATAAGCATTCAAATATGGCAACAACAAAAAAAAATACAGTATTTATAACAGTTTCTTTGCATCACATATGCTGAGGTAAAATGGTAATATTCCTTGCCAACCTTGTGTTTTCTCTGCAGTGACTTTGGAGAAGAGAGACACCTGAGACACAGCCACGAAGGGAAGCCCCAGCAGCTGCAGAAACACTCCGATGATGAAGGCCGACAGCTCCCATCCATAACCACCTGGCAGGGATGGAAAGATAATACCCTGGATTACTGAATTACAGCTTTTTGCCCCAAATTATATGAAACATATCATTCAACAATTGCATTTACAGACTGTTATCTAACGCCAACTCTTACATACAGGAAATTCATATATTTATAGATCCTTTAGTGATTGTGTTATAATATTTTGTTATTCTTATGTAATGATAATAATTCAAAGTGTGTGACAGTTATCCATCCCTTCTTCTCTCGGTTTTTAAGTTCCTTTCACAAATGGGTTGGCACCACCAGAGATGGCTCTATCTGAAAACAAAACCACTGCCAATCTGGCAGCCACTAGATTTTTGTTCTCTGCTGCTTTGCATCATGCACATGTTTGTGTGAATTTGTGCCCACTCAAACTGTTGGATGTACCTGCATAAGCTGAAAGTCTATCATCTTAAAATCAAGATGCAATTTCAACAATCAAACATGTTCCTTAGAGGTTAAACTTATTTTTCTTCAGGTATCTGTCTGTAAGGCTCCATGTCTTTGCTTTGTTTTAACTGTAACAAATAGCAAACAAATGTAGGATATGCCTTAACAAATAGCATTTTTGTCTAATTAGATTACTGTAATCCTTTTATATGTACTCAGGCACTCCCTAGCTCCAGCACCTGTCACTTGTAATCAGAGCGATAAACGTGACAAGCTGCAACGGACGCAGGCCAACATGAACATACAGGATCCAGTTTGCCTGTATGATCTCCTGCTGGCCTGCCAGAGCCTGAGTGATATCATTTACAGAGCACATTCAATTCAGCCAGTGTGTAACCCAATATGGCTCCCCTGCACTCTACACACCAACGCCAGTCGTACAGAAAGGATTTGGCATAGAACATGAGGCTTTTTTTTTTTTAAGTCTGTGTGTGCCTTCGCATTGCATGTGTGTTTGTGTGTTTTCCCGGACAGGTTAGCACCTCGGGGGTTGCAGAGGAAGATCAGGCACCAGATACAGGCGGCGCAGCAGATGACCAGGCCCACGGCCAGCACTACGCGGTCCTCCACCTTCCTGCTCAGCCAGCGTACAAAGAAGAAGCCCAGGATGACCTCCACCCCGCACAGACTGTACATCAGGCTGTTGGCCAGCTCACCAAAGCTAAAGTAGCGCTGCGTCAGAGGTGTCACCATGGTCTGGGGATTTTTTAGAAAGATGTTCGCAAGGTCAGTCAGTTAGACAAAGTGATTCAGTCAGAGGCAGAGGTGGAGATTCTTATTAGAGCTGAAACGAGCACCTTTTAAGTCCTTCATTCTGTCCCGATCAAAAGAATTGTTCTGTTTTGATATTAAAATGATTATATAATCCAGGTCAGCATTGTGCCACTATTCAGCTTCTACAGTTTAATGAGAAGAGAGAAGGCCTCTTCATTTTTAATATCCAGTACATAGAGACTGATTATGTGCACTTGTTACATCAGTTTTACTTTGAGCGATAAGGGATACTTGATTATTTTCTCAGAGTATCAGCGCAGGTCTTTCCAGGTAAGGCTCAGATTGATGCAGTTTGGATGAAACTCGGGGTAAAATAGTGTGACATTGTGTGAAATGCTTGGAAACTCCGGCTGATGGATCTCAACGGTAGCTGCTCTCACCTCCAGCGCTGTCTGATTGAAGAGAGTGATGAACTGAGCCGTGAGGAGAACAACCACCTCCTCTCTCAGGAACTCTGCAGAGTGAAAGACAGGGAGATATACACTCAGAACCGGAGAAACCAAAGAGAAAATCATAAAACAAGCTCAAGTGGTGGCATTAAATTCAAAGTTTCAACTGGCAAGTTAGATTGAGATAAAGAAGTTTAAAGAGAAAAGAAAACTTGGACTATCTGAAGGTAATCTTAAGATTGAAAGAGGCGGGCGTGACGAATCCTGGCCGGTTGGCCATGTTGATCCTCCAGCCCAACAAACTGCCTATTTCTTTCTCTACAGATAAGCGCAAGCTCTGCTTTTTTTCTTATGTCCAAAACATGATAACACAAAATCCAAATTTTTACCCCAGCTTTTCCTGGAACAAAAACTCCCTTATGGACTTGGAAAGGAGGAAAAATGAGCTGGGCTTGCTGCTAAATTTGGAAGTATGTGCCAGATGGCTGGAGGAATGGCTTGATAGTACAGTGTGTGATCTGCTATGGTTCTGTTCTCTCTGTTCAGTGTTTTTACGATTATTTGTATGATATAATTTATACACTACTACCGAGTATGTACGGTATGTGTATTTTAATATGTGTGTGTATGTATGTGTGTATTTACAAGATCTACTTAGGTATAGGTAGGTTGATATGGGTTTAACATATATCATATGCATATAAAGGGGCTATTAAGTGACTTATCATTACACTTACATAATGTGGAATATGGAGACTTGGAAGAGAGAGATTTTAAAAAATCAATACAGCAGAGGCCGAGATATCCTGACCTTTGCTCCCTTGTGTGAAACAGATTCTGAGAACACCGAACCCTACAACTTCCATGATGTAACTTTCATTAGACCCTCTCTGCCAGGTAAACACTTTCACTCTAGTACTTTGAATTTGGCAGAGTAACCCTTTAAATAACAATAAATAAATAAAATTGAGTAACCAGTTACAAATATTTCTAAATTATAAAGCATTTACTAACTGTGTTATCAAGCATTCAATTAAAGACATTTTATTATATACAGTTTCTTGCTGAGAGATTAATACTGCTCTCCTGTCTGTACGTTCAATATAGAGCTAGAGCCTAGCTTATCACAAAGACCGGAAACAAGAGGACGTGTTGTATATGTCACCCTTTAATTAGTGAGCTTTGTTGGAAGGCGTACTTTTGAATCCCCGGATTGAGGGAGGTTGGCTGTTTCCCCATGCATCGAGCCTTTATGCTAAGCTAAGCTAACCAGCTGCTAACTTAATATTTAAGATAAGATAAGATATACCTTTAGCTTACAAAGATGAGAGTAGCATCTATTATTAAGCCATTATTCATTGTTCATATATATAACTTATTAATGCTAAATATTTTCCTTGTTCCAAAAACAAAAAACATCACACAGGTTCTTCTTGTGTTGTCTCGGTTGCATGACTCCAACCACAAATGAAAAGACTTGATGAAAGAAAGTGAAAGATCTGCCTGAGTTTCAAGGATTCCTCACTCATACACAAAAAGTCGAGGAAGATCAATAATTCAGGGGAGCGAATACCAGACACACTGCAACGGCTAACAGACACTCCTACAGTGTGTGCTAGAGCTGCAGACTTCCTCCAGTTTTGCTCCTAAGTTTCTGGTGTTGTAGCTTTTCTTCAAAACAAAAAGGAATCAATAAGAAGAATGTTGGCCACATTACCAATTCTGTCTCCATTTCATCCACAAGTCAACCACAGCAAGCCAGTCAATAAAAAAGGAAGTCTGCTATCCATCCCTTCGCCACATCTTCAAAGAGTGAGAGAATCAATACAGAGGTTTGACACACACACACACACACACACACACACACACACACACACACAGACTAACAAAGTACAGAAAAAGTTAATCAATAACGGCACACAATCACTGCTTGCATCCCATGTAAAGTTACTATGACACTAATCCAATAAGACACCTGACATCATATATATACATACACACTCTGACATAAACCAGACACATACACACAAGTCCAATCAATACACAGGGAATCTGATCTGACAATACCACACAGAATTCCTCAGAGAGACCTGGAGAATGAAAAGTGTGTGTAAGCATGAGTGTGTGTGGGTGTGTGGGTGTGTGTGGGTGTGTGCATGCAAGAAAATCAACAGAGCCGATACGAAACATGTGCATTGGCAGTGACACCTCTTCCTACCTGAAGCCTGTGAATAGAGCAGAACAGAGCTGACAATCATTACTCCAGACAGCCAGTCAAACCTGCTCGCTCACCTCTGCTAGCGCTGAAGTTCTTGAAGGGGTTCGAGACCGCTGAGGCACCGTGGACGGCCTGCATCTCAGATGATGTGGAGGTCTCCAACTGGTCAGAGTTGACAGCTCTGTAGGTGTGCACAGGCTCCTCGTCGGACCCCATCAGCGGCACCTCCTCCTCATTCTCCTCTTGTTTCATCTCCACCATCACAGCTCCCCCCTCTGAGCTGATGGGTGGTACATCCCAGTACATGGCCAGGACGACAAACTGGAGCAGCACCCACAGCAGGCACATGAAGATCTGAGAGGAAGGAGGAAGAAAAAAATGACTCAATTCATTCTTCTTCATTCATGTCCTCTAATATTTGAAAATAATTCTTTTCACACCATCAAAATCCTTGAAAACTATCAGGAGAGATAGAGTATTTGATATATGGAGAGTTTTCAAAAAATGAAGCAAACCTGGCACAGTGAAATAAAAGGAGACATGCAGTGTCAAATTATGTGGAAAAATGGAAGTAGGCGTATGGAGCTTTGTTATATCTCATTTAAGCTACATCCGTTCTACAGGTGTTTTATTCAGAGAGACTCATGAGATGGAAAGAGATCGATACGGGTTGTTATGGGCCTGAGTATCACTGCAGGCGTTTTGTATTCTTCTTACTCAAAGCAGAACAAAGGGGAAAAAAATACATGTGAACCAGGAGGAGTGCAGAATGTAGAGTGACTATTTCTGAAGATTGTTTCCGTATTCATGAGGCTTTCCAAGAACCTTAGATTACTGATTATCTGGATGCTGTTACCCCAGGAGATGTATATTTGTTCACAACAAAGGGCCCCAGTTTGAAATCACACAGCCGCAGGAACAAGTTGAACGCCGGCCCTGGAGAGACAGGAGGAAGAGCTTTAAAGAGGAGATGGAATAAAAACAGAGGATGTGTGGAGACAGGAGCCTCCACCTCAGTGATTTTATTGAATGTCTCCTTCTCGCACTTGAAACTGACATCAAAGACGACATCACAAAATCTTTCCTGGTGTCTGATATTTGTCAGAAGACAGAGGAGGTGGAAAGAGGTGAAATGACACCCCTCTCTGTGGTAAGATGAAGGGGGGAAACTGACCGACAAGGAGGCCAGCTTGTCGGCAGGCCATGATGGCTGCAAAGATACCAGCGCGCTCTTCTGGCCGGGTGCTCCGAGTCAGGAAACCAAAGATGGAGGAGCCTGCTCCTGCACCGACACCTGAGAGGAAAACAGCATCATTCTGTTACACCTTTCACAACGTATACGCATGTTGATACAGCACAGGTGTTTCATGACATGCATGCATGTGTGCGTGCGTCACCTGCTACAAGCCGACTGCATAACAACAGCCACTTTGAATATCCAATAAAATACATGAAGTTCCCTGAGGACAGATGAAAAAGAAAATCATTCTTGGGAACCAAAATGCATATCCAGTGTGAAACAAATCTTTGACTTGAATGTTGTGTCTAAAATTGTTAGAAAAATTCTAGCAGCATGGTCCAGACCAAATATTTCAACAACAATTGAATGGATTGCCATGATATTTTGTACAGACATTCATGGTTTCAAACGAAGCCTACCAACTCTGGTGATGCCCCGACTTTACCTCTAGTGCCTCCAGCAGCTGAATAATTACTTTTACTATTAACCCCCAAGGGGGAAATTAATTTTTTTCCTCCATTATGCAGCAGGTTTGTGATTTTGAGTTAAATTAGATGCATTAAGCGTGTCTAGCGCCGTCATCAGGTCATAAATTAAAGCTGTCCAACACTGTACTTTATTCCCATATACCTGTAAACCTGACATTTCCATAGGTCTCAGCTGTACTTTACACATGCTGCTACACATTTGAGCTTGTATGTAGTATTAGTAACTAGTATGGCGGAAGATACTTAGTCTTGTTATTAACTTTAATCCACTAGTGTTTGTGCCATTTTGTGTGTCAAAATGTGTACTCAGCCTTATATTGTACATACTGAACTTACATTATTTATATTATTTATTTATTACACATTTAAATTTAAAAAGCTGCTGACTGAATGACCTACGACCTGATTTTCTTTCTATTTTCTGTTTTAGTTTGCCATCAAAGACAATTTATATTCCTCTACATAGAATTTCCCATGTAGTGTGTAGTGAAGAATGAATGAGTTAAGTATTTCTGACGAAGCCCAAATATGAACACACAGTCTGGCCAGTGGCTTCTAAAATCATGTGTCATGTGACTTGTCTTGTGGTTTGATTACTCACCGGCAATCTCAAAAAGATTGGAGAACAGGATGATGGACTTTGTACTTTTGCTCCGGTCTGACCAGAACCCAAAAAGCGGGCCTGTGAGCAGCCCGGTCAGACTGAAGGCAGACAGACCCAGACCCAGGAAGTAAGGAGGGGCCTCCAAAATCTGGAGATACCTCCATATCGTAGGCAGAATGACGGCTGAGACCCCCAGAGAGGGATGAAGGAGGATGAGTGTGAAAGAAAATGAGGGAGATGTGTAAATGACAGGCCTCATTTACCCACAGCAAAATATATTTCAGTTAAATCAGATGCTGTATCCTCTGTGATGTGTGCTTACAGCCAAAATGCCAGGCAGAAAGTGCTCTAATGAGATCATTATCTCATGTCTTCAAGTCTGTAAAGCCATCATAATGAACTTACCATACTCAATGCCGCTCAGCATAAATATCAGTCCAATGGTAAGAAAAGTTAGATTCCTCTTTAGGTGATTATCCATTGTGCTCAGTGACCAGTTGCCTTTTATACACCGACCTCTGTCTGCGTATGTTGTTCAGAAATGTTGTTCAGTGGCATGATCAGATAACAGGAGACACTGTGAGTCCAATTACAACTGCTGGCCTGGATAATCAGAGGAATTTGTTGCACCATTGTACAAGGTCATTTCAGAACTTCTTAGAGAAAAAAAAAAACAGAGATCACACGATGCTTCTCCTATAGAAGAGGCTCAGCGTGGGTGAGACCTGAAATACAGTACGGAATACATCAAATCAGCAATAAAACCAATAGAGTCCAGTTTAAAATGATTGCAGTAGTCCTTTCCCATTAGGCATTTATGTTAAAGATGAAATTCTGTTTGAGTCACGTCCGCAGTGCGGCACCACACTGTGAGCCTCACGGTCACGGCAATGCCTCAGGTTACCAGGTGAGGTAAAGTACACAGAGCTTTATACATTTTTAATCTTGTTTTCTTCAGTTTCGTCAAAAGCACTTGATTCTCCCACAACCCTGTAAAGAAAGTGTGCCATGTCTGTCGGCCCCCTTGTAGGTTATAGATATGAATAACTCTGCTGTTTTATAAAAAGAGACTCCATTTGCCAGTTCACAAATACAATACAACACACACAGTAATAAAAACACACAGGTAATAAAATATATCAGATAAACCAGGATTACATTTCCCAGAATATAAAGCCTCACACCAGAATGCTTGATAAAAGGTTGAGGAAAATATTCAAAAAAATAACACTCTTTTGTATTCAATACTGAATAAATTAGGTATGACATCGCTGTCTGTTTTATTGAATCGTTGGCTCCATTTTCAAGCTGCTGTGGTATTCCTAGCCTTGGGCTTGTTATATTAAACATAACTGTCACCAAGTTAATACCTCCATATGTTTTTCCAGCAAGGCATGAATAATACAAAGACTTTTGATTGTTTGAATAACATATATAAACTCCTCGCTCAGCATCCTGCACTCATATCACACATTGTCGGGACACTCTGAGAGGTTTGGAGCTCAACAGGCCCACGGGATAATGAAATGTCGCAGGACACATGTGTTTGGGTCAGTATCTCTTTTTTATGTGTGTAAAGGTGGTTGATCTGGCATACAAGCTCAACTATACACTTTCTCTTCTGCTCTTTTTTCCAACTGACTCAATAGAGAACGTGTACTCACCTGTGCAGTGTCATCGTGCTGTTTCGTTCTGTGTAGAAAGTGAATAATCAAGAAGAGATTTATTTTTCTTCTCCATGACAAATTGATGCATGCAGCTGAGCGTCACGGGCCCACTGAGAGGCCATTAGCATCCTACCTGCCTTACCTGTGGTGGTTTCTATAGAAACACACATGAGGGTGGAAGGTGTTGTTGCACTCACCTTTGAGCCTTGGTAAACAACAGGGAGTTCCCCCGGTGAATAAACTGCAATCTAGTCCACTCAGTCAGTCGCCACGCTGCACTGGAGCCTGTTGGAGATACAAGATGATCAGCTACTGAGGAGCATTTGACTTTCAGATAGAGGGGAGCTTGTTAGGTGGATACACATACTTGGGGGCTGGGAGGTGGCTGAGATAGGAGTGGGCATGTTCTTGAGTACAGCTTCTCCCCGGAGGTCGTTCACCGTCCCCATTAACATCAACCTGCAGGGTGCTCGGAGGCGGCAGACACGGTAAGAGAGGACGATGGACAAGGCCAGACAGCAAGGCTTTTAAAACACTGTTGGGAGGTCATTATGAAGCAAAGACACAGGTGAAGCTGAACAAAGCTTCACATGCAGATTTCCAATTCTTGGGCACATATGAGAACGCATGATTATACACACTACATCTGTCTGTTGAGGGTGTAAAAAAACAGATGACACCCAATAGACTAATTTTGCATTAAAGGGGGACTCCACCGATTTTGCACATCCAGTTCAGTTTACCTGTCACAAGGAGTAACACTCAGCCTTTGAAGTTGTATAATGACTTCTGTGACTCTGGAGCAACTATCCAAAAATAAATAACATCTGATGAGGTCATCAGGGTCCACCATTGGGCTTGAAATCTTAAATTTTTTACCAAAAAGCCTGTGTTATGGGCTGGGAGTGTGGAGTTTGAAAGACATGGAATTTTACAGGCTTAGAAGAAAAATGCTATTATATTGCATTATGGGATATGTATGCATTTTTGAGAGCTTGACTAATAAAATGGACTTAAAGTAAAATCTCAATCTTCAAATTTTAAAGGTTCAGTGTATAGGATTTAGTGGCATCTAGCAGTGTAGATGCAGATTGAAACTCACTTGCTTAAAGTGCAAGGGAGAAACTACAGTGACTGTGAAACACACAAAAACATGAATGGCCCTATCTGGAGCCAGTTTTTGGTTTGTCTGTTCTGGTCTACTGTAGAAACATGACTGATCAACATGGCAGACACCATGGAAGGCAACCAGCTGTGTCTGCAGATAAAAACTGCTCATTCTAAGGCAATGAAATACCAGATACCTGCAAAACTAAATGTCTCAGCAGCCTCAGCATGTGTTAACTAAATAAAAAGAGGAGATCCTGGAGGAAGAAAGTAAATCGGCGGTCTTACAGAGCCACTTCAACAGTACAACAAGAAAACGCAATATTCAGAAAATATTTCCCAACATCATGCTTAACAAAAAACTTCAAACAGCAGTTTCTATACATTTTTATATCATTTATATCATCTTTCATCTGAAATAAAGCTCCTGAAAACCTGCTCTTTTCCATTGCATGCACTTGTGGCCACCTTTAACTGTTGCCATTATTTTGCAACAAATGAAATACATTTATTAAAATAGAATTGTGTTTTTATTTTATTTGTATATGAAGGGGTAGTTTATATAGATATGAAACAACAACAAAACAATTGTTAAAAATAATAATAATTTTGCAGGCTTGATTATATTATATTTTTCATATCTTTCCTCATCATGTCACAGTCCAGAGGGAGGCCCCCAGGAGGCATTCTAAGACCCCTCCAGTGAAAGAAATTATATTTGAACCTGAAAATAAAATCTATTCAGAAACTTTTTTTGTATTTTAGCCCTGAAGAGGAATCATGTAGTTTGAAAGAATGGAAAATTAATCATATAAACCAAATCAATTTATGAGTCAAACATTAAATTTGTTGATGCATCGAATCAAAAATCTAATTTGTATCACTGTTGGATTGAATCATTACGTGTGTGCGCGCGTGTGTGTGTGTGTGTGTGCGTGTGTGTGCGTGCGTGTGTGTGTGCGTGTGTGTGCATGAGAGACACAGAGAGTTCTTTCACACAGCGACAGCTCAAGAGCAGGACTGGAGTAGAGGGGTGGATGGGCGTGGAGGGCAGCGAGCTCGGAGCCAGATGCCAGTGTCGAGTGTCGGGGAGGACAGAGCCATCCTGCTGGGCTTCACCATGATGGCCTTCTCTGTGCTCATGTTCTTTGTGGTCGGGATCACTACAGTCAAACCCTATGTTAACAGGTACACTGTAGTCTGTTGATGCTACAAAGGATGTAATATGATAGACAGTACTGTGACAACAACAGTAGAAATGTTATTACACATTTGTTTTTGCAAATTATGTCTGTGATTCAACTCACAGAGGAAATGGCAGTACATTTAGGACTGCAGCTTACTTACTTATTTTCATTACTGATTTAACTGGTGATTAGATTTTTTATTAAATGATGAATGAAATAGGGTGCCCGGTTAGCTCAGTCGGTAGAGCTGGCAACCCATGTATTGAGGCCGAGTCCTTGATGCAGCGGCCCAGGGTTCGAATCCGACCTTTGCTGTGTGTCATCCCCTCTCTCTGCCCCCCTTTCCTGTCTATCTTCAGCTGTCACTATCAAATAAAGGCAATAAAAAGACCAAAAAAAAATAACATTTGTGAAACTGGAGCCAGCAAATATCTATCCTCTGGGTACAATGAATGTCTGGACCAAAAGCTGCAGATCGACAGACCGTCATTGGCCTAGCATGGTTAAATCAATATAAAGTTAAATCTTATGAATAAAAATACTAAAATGTTGACTAAGTCAAAGTTCAGATAGTATTCATCCCATCATTTTCATACTTTTGTAAAATCTTTTCATCTATTTTTTTCTTTTCCTGGCAGAGATGGGCTTCCATAAGATGTGCTACAACATGAATAAAAAAGTAAAACAAGCCCTCACATCAGAGGTCTAATAAGAAACAATAAATGCCTTTCTGGTGTGAATGTGTTTGTGAGTGTTGGAGATACAGGGGTTGGAAGCCCTGGCTCGGTTACACCAAACATTTCCTCTTGTTTTCCAGTGACTGGGTGGAGTCCAGCTGTGTTCTGCTAAAGACCGAAATCCTGGAAGAGTGGGTGGACTGCAGAGGTGTGAGCATTGTGCCTTGCCTCAGGGTAAAGGTTAACCTCACAGGTTCCAATCAGACGACTTTTCTCCACTTTGACGAGGAATTGGTCCTCCTTGCTCTTGAGGTAGGGATTTAAGGCAGTTAATTCCAGGTTTTAGGTCTTACCTTAAAGCTTCAAAAGCCTCTGGTTTGGATATGCTTCACAGGCATGTCTTGTCGACTGTAAGGAAGGAACACCTGCAGGATACAGGCCCGCGAGGAATGGATTTGAGCATTAAAGCTTTATGTCTATGTACTACAACTGACATGAAGGACCACTCTGTGTATTAGATCTTAGTTTTGCTTCTCAGGACTCAGAGTTGTTCTAGTTTTCATATAAGCCATCTAAGCAGGGACTTGAGAAAGCACCTGAGAAAGCAGTGGAGGCAAAAAACTGCACTGAACTAGCTGACAGGATGGAAAACTAGCAGTACTCTGATTACTGTACCCTTGTGAATAAGCCAGCAGACATTATTAGGGGATGCCCTCATGCTGCACATCGGCTCCAAATGAAACATTTTTCAATACCAGTGCCGCACATGGAGGCTAGAAAGAGTTTTTTAACAGACAAAAAAAGTGTCAAAAAAGAACCTTGCAGCTCGTCTCACTGATTGCAATCAGCACTGCCAACTGTAACAAGCAGGTCACTTGATAAAAATGACACTTGAATCATATCTTTTCTTTCCCAGTGTTTCTATATACCCAAATGTCGAATGGACAGAACAGAACTTCAAAAGGAAGTTGAGAAAGTGAAGAACAGCTTGGACGCTCAGCTGGAGAGGACCTCATTGTGCTTCACTGACAACACGAGGCACCCCGGGGACACAATCTTGAACAGGAAGTACACCCATGAGAAGGCCCTGTTAGCAATGCTGTGGCCCTGTCTGATGCTGGGTGGCGGAGCTCTGTTGGTGGGCCTTGTGAAGCTGACTCAGTTCTTAGCCCATCTCTCCTCTGAGGTGTGCAGTGAGACTGCAGGGGGCAGGCTGACATCAAGACACACTCAGGGCAAACTGTACAGACTCCTCCGGAGGTCCAGCGCGCAGTCTCCTTCATGACATATCCAGTGTTTGTTATGCATCAGGCCAAAAATACCTTTTTTAAATATATAATGGGTACATAATGTCAACCGGGGCCAGTGTGTATAAAGCATATATAAAGAATAAATGCCTACGTGGAGAGAATAGGTTGGATTATTTATAATAAATCTTAAATCTCTAATAACAAAAATCTTAAAAACCAGCTGTGGTACATGCACAGAGGACAAAAGACAACACACCTTTGCAATGAAAACGTAGTAATGGCAAGTTGAAAATAAGTTGATGAAAAAGATACAAGGTCTGTCCTAATACCCAAACGACAGGCGAAAGCTGAAATCATCAAATTAATAACATGATTCAGTATACAGTACATTTCCAACATGTTAATGTGAGTCCTCCTATAGTAAGCGCATTTATATATATTCTGAAAACAAAAAACAGAAATGAAAAATTAAGCTTACTCCTATTATATAAACTTGGAGGTGAACTTCTTAAGGAAATGTTTTGTTAAATCGACCTCTAAGTTCTCTTTCAGAAAACCAGAAACAATTGAGCCTGTATATGGTTAAAATACAAAACTTTTAAAGGGCCTCAGGAGATGACTTCACTTTAAATGGCTCCTTCTTCCTTCTTTGACTTCTAGAGAAACTTATCTGAAAGTCTTGTTTTGCTGGCCCCCAGTGCTTTAAGCAATGTAGAGTTTACTCCAGGGTGTCAGTAGCCAACACTGTGACATCACTGTTGGCTGTTGTTAGAGACACAACAGAGCACATTTCTAACTACTTTAAACCAGAGAGGGCAGATAAGTGACTCTTTAAAGGTCCAGTGTATACTGTTTCAGCGGACCTATTGGCAGAAATAAAATATATATATATATAATCTCCCACACACTGATCTTTCAAGACGGTCATTGACAATATCCCAAACAGTATATCTTATGTTGTCAAATTAGTTATATAGGAGATATCTCATATAAGCTTTGTTCTTGCATGCTTCAATACATTGATGATGTTGGATACAGTGCATTTTGGGTCCGCTTGACAAGGTGTGTATGAGGGTTGTTTACATTGCTGATTCAATGCACACTAATGTCAATCTTTATCATGAAGCCCATCAGGGCAAAAGTGCCTTGTAAATACCAGTCAGTGAAGCAGGTGTAAAAGCAAACAATGTAATAAAAATGGCAGAAATAAAATGTAGGGAGAAATGTTTTTATTCAACAGTACAATAAATGAATGCATACAGTTTCTTATCAGACATGGTCATATGAGGATGACTAAAACAAGTATTTGAAGAGGTTTTATGAGATGTATGTGTATATACATATATATATATATATATACACACATACATATATATACACACACACATACAAAAGAATAGATAACTAACATATGAGTCTGGTTCTTTTTAAAACATGCAGCTTAGCTTCTCCCACCTTATTGTGCTTACAGACTTCCACACAGGGCAAGATATCCTCACTTAACTAAAGACCGTACTCTGACAAAAGCAGAAGTCCTTGTCCTTCATTCAACAATTCTCCTCTGCTTTGTCATTTCATATCGTTTCAACAACTAGAAGCTGTCTACTGGGTTTTGTATGAGGATGGTGCATGTTATACATGATTCCTCCTTTTTTTTTTTTTTGGTTAGCAGTTACATATATGTGTTTGCTTATGTTTAAAAATACAAAAATATATTACCTCTGTAGTTATTCAAGGAAAGCATTTGCACATGTAGTAGCAGTTATCAGTATCTGTTACCTTCATTGTGACTTTGTTGTACCTCACACAAGTAACAAGGTCATTTCTATACATGAAATTCAAGTAAACAACATCAGGTCAAACAAAAAAAAAAGTAGATATTCAAAGACCTCATGCATAATGCAGTGTGAGAAACAGAAAACAACCAGAACAAGTACAAAGGGAAATAGCATCACTTAGATAGTTCTTCCATAAAGTAAATAGGGTTTAGTTCTTTCAATTTGGGTCCGGCCCACCGCTCTGTAGCCTGTACAGAAGCATCTCAGTAGGATCGGTTTCCTGAGCATTTTTTAAGTCCTTACTCATTTACAGAAAACAAAAATTGGACTTTCAGAAAGACTTGAGTGTCCAGGAAACCGCCCCGTTGTGTATCATTTGGTAAAGCTAGAACATCTGCTGACCTCCTGCCAAGACTATTCTTCCACAGATAAGGGTGACAATAATAGGAAAGAGGAGGGAAGAAGACACTTTAAAGGTTTAAAAAAAAAAAAATTCACTTCGGTTACTTTTCTTTACCTGGATGTCACGATCTGGGACCATATGGCAAATGTGAGGAGAGGGCGTCTAAAATGATCTGTTGTACGTGTGATCGAGAACAAGAAGACTCCTAACATTTTACAGATGGCTTGGATTGAAGCTCAAATAAACCTGGTAAGGAGAAGCAAAAGGCAGGGTCCAAAGGCGTTTCTCAGTTCTTTTTGTTGGGAAGAAAAAGACTATTCTGTTACAGTGCAGCACTTTTTTTCTTCCATGTACTGTCTGTACAAAGTCCACTGACACACTGCTCTGTGTGAGCCTGTCGGGGGAGATGCATTTCTCTCTCTGCCTTACTCTGACATCAACTGTTTTGTTTTTTTGTAGTATACAGTACATATTAGGATCACAACTTGCATAGTGTAACAGCACAGCACACAAAAGGAACACTGCACATCCTTTTCCCCTGCATTTCTTGCCTTTATCAGCTGAATAACAAAAGACCAATTGATATTCTACAGCTGACCATCAGAAGACTTCGCCAGTCAACTGCATGGGGTGGACAACGGACATTTGTGCCTCAACATCTGACAGAATAATACTGATAAGACAAAACAAAACAACAAAAAAACAAAATACTGCAGAGATCAGTGCTATGAGTACACACGTGACTTGGAATAGTAGTGACTTTTTTTTTTTTTAACAATAAGACTGCTGAGTAATGGGGTTACACATCTAGTACTTTGGCTCAGTAGAAGATAGACTCAAAAAGGAATATGTGCACCGAATGCATACAAGTCTATGGATATACTGCTGTACAAAAGTCAGTTATCTGGCGTGACCTCTAAAGAAAGGACACGTTATCTGTCAGCTACAAATAAGTCATTATTTCAGTTGCTCCAAAAGAATTAAATGCTAGGTATGTGTTTGACAACACGTTCTCTGTCAGTCCTCTAGTATGAGTGTTGATTGTTTTTTCATGACTGTAAGGGGGAATTATGATTTTGTGCGCACACCGCCAGGCTTCTCATTGTCGGTGGCTGCATGCGCAGTTATCTCCCCCGTCTTCATCAGTTCAAAATAGGTTGTAGAAATAATTGAATTATGTTCTGTCAGTTCATCATTAGAAAAAAAAAGTAAGCTGTGCTCATGGTATACCACTTCATGGTGTTCCTTTCTTAATGCTGATGGATGTAGACGTACTGAAAGGAATACAAAAAAAATAAGAAAATGTGTCCATAATTTGTTCACGTGAAGAAGGCTAACATAGTTGAGGTCCATTAAACTTATTTAGTTCCTATGAAGACTGATGAAATATAATTCTACCCTGCCTTCTTAAGTCCATACTGCAGGGAGGAGAAATTCAGAAACCTGTAGAAACAGAGAATTTAGGCATTATGTCCCTGAAACGGGCCCTTCTGAGCACCCTTATTTAGTGGTGCGCTGGCAGATAATGTTTCAGAGTCACGTGCTGGCAGAAGTTTTAACCAGGTCTTAGAGTGTTTGGGAAAATACCTCGCTTGCTTCTCACTACTGTTTTGGTTCTTAGGGTGCTGTTGTTGCCACAGTCCTTTACTCCTCTTGTTTTAGTTGTCAGTTCTCAGTTCATGGCATGCTGGCGGATCGTGTGGAAGATCCAATCCATTTTGGTAGTCCAGCCGCCGTGGTGAGCGTCGTTCATCTGCTTCATGAAGTAGTCCAGGGCCTCCTGCTCCGACTTGTCCAAGGCCAGGGTCTTTCTGATGTAAGCAATGTCGTCGAATGACTGCAGCTCGGGCATCCCTGAGCCCAGCATCATGGAGAAGAGGTTGATGAAGAGGTTGGCATGCTGCCGGATTGCCAGGTACGCCTTGTAACACATCTCCTGGAACCTAAAGGGGGGAGAAGGAAAAAATTACTAGGGCTGCATGATATGGTAAAAACATCATATTGCGATACGATTAACAAATAGTGGGAATGATCACAAACTAAATTTTCATAGAACATGATGTGACATCTTTTGAGGTCTGTACCAAACACACGTTTTATTACATCTGGAGAACAAGATTTGTAGGCCAGGGCATTTTTACTGCAGTACTGCATTATAATGCTGTTTTCATGCAGCTTCTTTTGTGATTTTGATAATATATCTATTCGTTGTGCAGCCCTAAAAAATTACAAAAGGGGATACTTGCATGGAATTAAAGTGAATATTCTACAAGCCAACCACATATTTAAAATCTCCATCTCATAATGCCACAGAAATAGCTATTTTCCATTTTAATTTGGCTTTGGTATGTTTTATAACTCTTTTCTTTCATCCCAAGCTAACCAGATCATGTGTATTGCTGGTGTACCTTTCAAACTCCCTTGTTTTGGTGCACTCTTGAGTTCCTTTGCTAATAACAATCAGGAAGTCCTGTGTGAGCACAAAGGGCACACGTTCTCTCTTGTACCCAAACTTCTTCTTTTTGTGGTCGAGGAAATGGCCAAAGTCTATGTGGAACAGCTGTGAATACATAAGCAAAGTAAGTCATTAAACAATGATTTCAGAAAGTATGCATATGTAAAATATAAATTATGTCAAAATGGAATCTTTACCTGTCCATCATCTTTGACCATAATGTTGCTATTGTGTCTATCCCCTATGCCCAGGATAAATGTGGCTACACAGTAGCCCGCACACGACCGTGTGAACAAATCTATGGCCTGGTCATACCTAAGAAATCAAACAAATAAATATTTTATTCTCAGAGAGGATTCAGTGATTCAGTATGCAACCATTACTATAAAAAGGAAGAAAAATATGCTTAAATGTGAGTCTTCATATCAGTCTTTATATTTTCACTACCAATACCTCTACGCCTCACAGAAGACTAGAAAAGCTGTATAAATCACAGTTTTTGCTACTCACATCTCTCCCTTGTTCTTATCCTTGAGCCACTGATGCAGTGTGTGGCTGTTGAACTGCAGTGCCCCCTTTAGGCCTCCTTTACACTGGATCTGCATGATGGTGTGAGAGTTCCTCACCACTTCAATCAAACCCACACAGTCACCGATTGACAGACAACCATACGGCAGCATCCTGGGAGAGGAAGGGCAAGAAACATACGAGAGGCAGAAGTAATTAGGACAGTAGTGATGGACTTCATATTAAATGACTAGAGGTGGCTGGCAGGGGTTGCCACTAATCTGCATTCAGGTATGGAGTGCAGAACATGAAAGCATCCAGTGCCTGTTAATGTGCACCTGCATCATCACTGTCATGGTGAAGTGAGGAGCCTACCTGAGATCAAGGCCTTGGTTCTGCCAGATGTTCTCCATTATCCTAATGATCTGCAGCGTCAGCATGTCCTGCCTCAGATCTGCGGAGGCAGAGAGAGACAAGGAGGTGGATGACAGTAAGGTGATTATTAGCTGCTTAGCTGCTCTTTGATCAACTCCATGATGCATTATGGAGCAGAGCTGTCAAAGTCAGTTTGGTCGCAGATGTTACAGGCAAGTGCACAAGCAGCTGCGGTAAAGTGTGATTCAAATAACGTGACTTGTTCTTACTGAAATCTGTGTAACGAGCATAGATGAGGTTGTGTTTGTGTGCCATGATATGCCCTACAGGCTTAGAATGAAATGCTCATCAAGAGCATTTTCAAGTCTGTGTGTGTGTGTGTGTGTGTGTGTGTGTGTGTGTGTGTGTGTGTGTGTGTGTGTGTGTGTGCGCGTGTGTGGACAAAGAGAGATACAGGCGGAAAGAAAGAGGGGGAAAGGACAGAGACAAACTCACCATCTCCATTTTTGAAGATGATTTCGTTGTTCTGAAAGAGCAGCTCTGACATCATATCTGGGTTTTCCCAGTTAAGCCATAGAGGTCGCTTGGCTGATGACATCATCCTGCATTCCTCCAGGCTGAAACAGAGACAGGGATATGTTTAGAGGGAAGAAAACGATAGGACACCAAGTTCCCAGTAAATGGCCAGTGCTTCAGAGTCCTGACTCAAAACAATATATACATTATTTCACCTCAACCGAGTCATGTGGACTGGAATTACATTATGTACATTATGTCTAGATGTACTTTATCTACACACAAAACACTGCCATTTTAATACACCTCATTTCATCTTAAAGCAGGAAAGGCAAAAGCAACACCTGCAGAGGAAATAAACGGTAAATGCCAGCCATTTCAGAGAAGGGAGTTAGATACGGGAGTGCTGATGTACCGGAGGTTTCCCAGCTGATGTGCTGGATTCAGTGGGGAGGTGAAGCTCTGCAGGGCGTCCATGTAATCAGGCCTTCTCATCTGCTCCACTAGAAACTTCATTTGCACCTTAAAGGAGAAAAGCACTTAGTCAGTTAGTAAAAAAACTAGATTTAGATGACTGTCAAGTCATTGAGCCTGAGAAATGTACAGGAAGTATAGTCGACTTATTTACCCTTCATAATGAGGTAATGCTGCTTCAATGGGTAACGGCAATGATTTGATAATGCTTTACTTAGATATTAAGTCAATTTACTAGTTAGCTGGCTAACCAATGTCATTTATTAGACACCATCACCAGTAGGACTAGCCCATTAGCCAGTGGCCATAATGTGCTTTAACATAATGTTACTTGTGAGTAAGTTAGAGGCAGTTGATGAAATATCACTTTTTGGATTACTACAAATAGGAGTGTTAACGTTAGTGCTGTAAGGATCAATCAGTTTGTGGACATAACTTATATATGTCTATATGTGCTTATATTTTAGCTGAAAGCCAAATGAAAAACCCACTTTTCAAACTCCACTATATTGTGGCAGCTGTGGCCAGATTGGTCCAGATGTTGTCAAGATTAAACTCAACAATTCAGTGGATCAGAATTAACAGCTGTTGGCTGTCAGATTACCTTCTGTGCCTCATCTTTTTTCTCTTGTTTGAGAAGGTCGGTGAGATTGATGAGTTTCTCCATGGCCTCCACCTGTCTGCTCAGGTGCTTCAGATACATGCCACATGCTCGGCAGTACGACTCCAGCAGCAGCCCAAAACGCTGGCTCACTGTCTTGTTGTGCATCTCTGACCTGTACACATGTAGGTAAGAAAAAAGAAAACCTTGAGGGTTTGTTTGTGTCCTAATGGAAAATGTGTCCAGTCTTCATACAAAAAAACAGCTCCAAAGTCAACTCACTTTAAATGCCAGAAGAAGAAATGTCCTATCCTCTGATTGGTTAATGCTTTTTTCAGCAGGAAACGTGCAAGTGGGTTATCAAGGTACTGTTCATACTTTAGAACCTGGGCACAACCACAGAGAATATAGAAAATACCGTTAAAATGTTATAATTTGCCTAATAATCCTACTACAATATATCTATCTGAAACATCCAACTTATAATCAGATGAACAATATTAATTGTATTTAAAGCCGGAGGACGAAGCAATGCACCTGAACCAGTTGAATGAGATACTGCGAGAGTTTGTCATCTGTTAGGTATTTCTCAAGGCACTTTACAGCAAACTCTCTGATCATGGGATCGGGGAAGTTGCAGTCCAGCAACTCCATGGCTTGTTCTGGCTTGATAGCAGGCCAGTCCTTCAGAAGGCAATACATCTGAAATGAAAAAAAAGAAACATACACTACATATATATTGTTTATAGTATTCTTGCAATTTTAATGACCCTACAATGCATGAGACAGTGTGTTAGGGTGCAATATCTGTGTGAACTACACAACTAAATAAAGGCGTATCAGCAGTAGAAACCTGAGCTCACCTGTGCAATCTCATCTCTGGAGTTCCATTTCACAGCCAAGAGGATCTTGGGAAGGATCTCTGGCATATTAACACAGGCTTGTCTAAAATAATTTGGTGAGAGAATAAATTATTATCATTAATAAATGAATCACATTCATTATTAATTACTTTTATGACATCTACATCAGCCCCACATGAGAAAACAATGACTTCTGTGCAAAAGTAATCTACCCCATACCCCCATATAATGGTGTACAGCCACACACACATTACCTGTGCCTCCATACGAAGTCTTTCTCCTGCTCAGTGATTTCAGACAGCGGGTCTCTGTTACAAACCTGGCGTAGCTGCTCATTGTCAGTGTCAGTCAGGGGGTTGTCACGCGCCAGTCTGTTACTCTGTGATACCGAGATAACACATAAACTTAAGTCAGCACAGCATGGGGTCTACAGGGAGCTCAATATGTAAATGAAAAAGTGATATTAAGTTGAGTTATTAAAATATTAAGTCTGAGGTGTGACTAAACTACAACGTGAGAGCTACTCAGAACGAAAGTATGATCTCATGGTGAAACTTGTAAGCACAACAAAACACAGGAAAATTAAAAACCTTGCTATCTTACCAAACCGGTGTGGCAGTAATTAAAGCCGAGCTCTCTGGATATATTCCAGTTTGCATGGTCTTCAATGATGGTCATATCAGGGTACTTGACAGGGCAACTGAAATGATCAAACTCCAGCTCCAGACATGGGGTTTCCTGCATTGTTTAGAAAGGGAAAGGTCATTCAAGGTGATTACTGTAATCAAAGAAAGGTGCCTGTGTCAATGAGTAATTAATTAAGTGGGATAAGCGTCTTGGTTGATTAAATCGAGGCGGCTTAAATCCAGCTCTGAAACTCTACAGGTTCTCACCAGCACGATTAAAACTGGGTCAGGAGGCTTAGAGGTCAGTCGCAGACACAAGCATAATTCTGAAAAGCTTAAAATGTTTGGAAAAAAGATTATGTTTTGTGCCGTGTTATTCTATCTTCTTAGCGTTTCAAGGAGGCCCATTCTGGTCTATGTAACTGAAAGAAATCTGCTTCAACAACCTTTGTATTCTATTAGAATATTTTTGATTTATATCGTTTTCTATTTTGTTTGCAGAAACACATTTGCTAGTTCACTAACATAAAACGCACCTAAAGACAAACATGTCTGTTTTCATTTTAATCTCTCCCTCAAACCACTATTTACATACATTTACATGAGTGAGCACTATGTTAATAATGTTGACATTTGCTTTTTACCTTGTTGGGGTTGGAACCGGTTACACCGATAGGATTGAGCAGGTCTTCCAGGCCATGTGGGACAGGCCATAAGTTGAGAGCCATCTTCCCTGCTACTAGTGTGTGGGTGTAGTCAAACAGGTTGATGTTGCCCCAGGCGAGGGGACAGTGCTCCTACAGGAAAATACCAGGAAGATGATGCATATGAAAATCATGAGAGAGGCAACCGCTCGGGGCTATGAAACAGACAGGTGCAGTGCAGAAAACATGAAAGTTGTTTATTTCCCTTTATGCCTATCACTAACTGACTTTGTTAGCGGCTTTGATCCAAACAAAAATCAAATAACTACATTTGAATAAGAAGGAAAAACAAATAAGAATTTCAGCATAACGTTTTATGTTATAATCCTTAAGCTTTTAATAAAATCAAACCCCATTCGTGATTTTATTTAATGTCAGCATTTGTTTTAGCAATATCCATTTAATGTATTTACATTCTGTAAAATTCCTCTCTATAGAATTATTGTTAGTGGTCATTCCAATGCAATCGCAAGAAAACAAGGCATGTATGTAATCCAGCGTTAGTGTTTTGATATCAGTCTCACTGTTCACTGTTCTATCTACCACAGCCGTGTCAGGGCTTTACTACAGCTGCTGCTTCACATTAAAAGTGTCAAATTGGTGAAAGTCTGACTTGCTTTTATTGTGAAGCAGACAAAAGAAACGTAATGTATTTGTCACTGGGATTGTTGGTGACTGTAATTGTTTGTTGTTGAAAATATGTCCACAAAACACGACACGGCCATTTTTGGCACTTTAAGACGACGAAGTCAGTCAGTTTGATCTACACCAGAGAGTAATGAAACAAGGAGGAGTAGCCACAATGAGCTGTTAGATAAAGAGTTGCAGATGCAGAGACCTCCAACTCCTCAGCTAAGTAACCAACTACTTTAAAACTCCTTTCACCATGCGCACCATAAAATTAATAGATTTTCATTATAGTTACTCAGAGCATGATAGAAAGACCAGTTAATGATTGCCTTCTTCATTACAATAATGCTAGATTGTTTGGCTCGATACACTAGTTACTCTTTGGATATATTGTATTTCTGACAAAGTAGCTGCTCTTACTACCAGTAACCATGGATGTCATCAAATCAACCAGGACTAACATCTTAATTATAACTTTAATGTGGCATTTCACTGCTAACCTCTTTGGCGCCCTTCCTCCCTTTCACAGAACAGATGGAGAGGCAGAGACGGGCAGCACGGGGGATATCTGGAATGTACATGTCGTAGTTCAGCCACTCATTCCACCTGGAATAAACAGGGACAGGACCATTAACATAATCAATTGCAGTACTGTCACAAAGCTGAGTGAAATCCCAGAGCATGGCATGCTATTCTTCATCGTGTACTACCTGGGGTTTGAACAGGGCACACGCTGGGTGTTGACATTGTCACACAACTGCTCTCCACCATGGTATATCCCAGTCCTGACATAGATCTAGAGCAGCCACAAAAACAAAAAATGCATATAGTAATCCATCTAGTGATAAATATATATTTCCTTTCTGACTGGATGAAGGGAAGGACACGGTGCACCACATTTTAATAACCTCCAAGGTACAGGAGAAGTGAGATTACAGTCTAAGCAGAACAAAGACTCTTTAAATAAAACAAGACGAAGCAGTCACAGCATCACACCGATGTATTGCATGTGTACCTTGTCAATGTCCCTGATGTTGACATTGACGTAAGTAGCGCACAGTATCCTGATCCTCAGTGTTCCATTGATAGTCCATAGAGACTTGGTGGCTGTTTCCCCATTCATGTAGGGCGTTGCTGTGGATATTCGCCTTGCATATGACGGCATGGTGAAGTTGTCTATGGGCAGCTGGGAATACAGGCTGTCTTTTGCCATTAGCATCAAGTTGGGCATCCGTCCCAACATGATACAGCTGCGCACGTACTGTCGAGGACAAACAAAGTGACATTTTGAAGCTATTCATGCCGCTTGACATTTTGAAGCCATTCATAGAATTTCAGGTTGTCAACATGTAAATTATTGGATTTTACATTTACAACTGAAGCATTCTGTGCGTTGTACTTATACACCATGATGTATAGTCTATTCTCGAATCAGCACATTTTACAGGCAGCACATTTTCTCATAAATTTCATTTCATGTTATGAATGCCAAGCACATTTGTGTTAGATGATAATTTGATGTGAAGTGGATCTCTTCCCCTCTAAGCGCAAGAGCATCCGATGCAGCTATCCTAAGATTAAATTAGATTACCTTGTACTGGCTCAGAGGGTATTTCTCCAGTAAGTACTCGTCACAGCCGCATACTTTGAGGATGTACTTTCCCTGATATTCCTGCACACACATCTTTAACTGCTCCTGGGAGAGCAGCATGCTACGCGTCTTCTTACGGATGGCTTCGGCAATCACCTGCTCTGGCACATAGTCATGGTTGATCTTCAGGGTATACTTCTGCTTGTCATTGCTGGGTGACACAATGACCCATATGACAACAATGATTTGACCTGAGGTGAAGAGAATAAACGATCAAATTGAAGACATATACTAACATTTTTCATACTTGGAGCAGGTGCACACACCAGAAATGTGAATGTTTGCATAATACAGTTTTATTACAACATTTGCTGCCATGAGTGAAATGTCTTACCTTTATCTAGCTTGTTATAGATGTGCCTGGGAAGTTCTGCAGAGGATTCTACATTGGGAGGATATACGTACAAAGCTCTACTATGGGGTCCGTTACTGTCTCTGAGGTCCACTGCCTCTTTGCAAACATTTAAAATGTTCCTTCTGAAGTCCTGCACTTCTGGGTCTTTCACCAAATCAAACTCACATATAGGCATTCCAATAGCAAAACCTAAAAAGGAAAAAAAACAAGAGCTTAATAATGTTGTTGTGTGTCCTTTAACCTCAAAATGTTTTATCTGTTGTTGTTTTCTGTGTTTTTCGTGACATGTGAAATGTGAGCCATAGCCTTATACAGTGGCACCACATAACACAATATATGTGACCAGTTAAAGCCAACCGTATTATGTTAATCCTCCTCATTGTGGTTAATGACATTGCCAAGGCCAACAGTAGATACAGGACATTACCGTAATGGACAATAAGTTGTTTTGTAGCTGCATAATAATTCATAAACCATACCTATCTCTCTGTTGAGAATTTTCTCCTCTCTGTTGCCTACTGGCTCAATGACTTTGAGGAAGGGTTGGAAGAGCCTAAGATCGCACAACCTCCTGGTCTCATCGTAAAACTCCTCCCGCTCTGCCTCCTGGGTGACACTGACAAAGATGTAGGAGCTCTCCTCCTGCAGCAGATGGTAAAGAGGGTACTTCCTGGCCTCTTTGAAAAGGTCATGCTTGACTGTGATCAGTGTGGCCTCCCTGAGGCACTCCAATGTGAGAATCATGCCATTTGGCAAAAGGCAGTCCACTAGGATGCTGGGGGGCATCAAGTGCATCCCCCATAGTTCTCCTGAGGAGGGCCTGGGAGGCATGGTTGTGCCAGCAAATCCGCTCTTTTCAGAGCCTGGTAATTATCAGATGAGGGATGTCAACCAACTGTGAGAAAGAAGAAACCCAGAAAACATAAGAAGCACTGACATATGCACAATAATGCAAAACACAAGTGGTGAACATTTTACTCAAGTAGCATAGTGACAGGTTATATAAATGAGAAATACACACAACTGGGCATATCTCAATTTAACATAAATTCCCCAAAATGTTATGAAAACTTCAATACATAAGAGGGGAATAACAACAGGGGAATACCTATGAGACAACTGTATACTGCTGTGTTGTTTTTAAGCTCACCATAATGCACATAGCCATTATGTTCACACATCTATGACAACATAGCTGGTTTACTTCAACGATGTAACTCGAAGTAATTCAATATCACCGCGTTTTTAATATAATTATAAGGTAAGCAACTAACCTAACGATGACATGACTTGTCATCACATCAGAGACAGAAAGATATATCGCAAAAACGTTGGTGTTGAAGTAAATCATGCTAACTCAAAGAGGGCAGCGGTGAAGTTATTCCTGTCCAGTGATCTCGAATGAAAGCACTTCAAAAATGATGTAAACAAACAAGCATTACCAACACTTTGGTTTAGGGTGGCTTACACTGCTAGGTTTAGCATTTAGCCTGGTCATTACACTTGGACCAGTCCGCTCTGTGCAGCTGCTCGGTGGGTTAACGTTGACGCTAGGTGCTGTTTCTTAGCTAGCTAGCTAACCATGCTAGCCAAGTTCACTAAGCAGATCAATGTCATTTACAATATGAAAACCTCGACTGATACATGAGCTAATGTTAGTCTGACGGTAGTGCAACAAAGGGATGCGACCCCGCGGTTTGTCGTGTGAGTAACTGGGTAGCTGTTTTGATCAACAATAAAGGCGAACACACAACAAAACACGAAAAACAAATATAAAGCTACCTGTGTCAGATAGCTAACGCCAACCGGTTAGCCTCGAAGCTAGTCAGTCAGCACAATCATTAGCAGCGGCTAGCTGAGTAAATCCCATTCGTGCCTGCTCGGGAAGTCTCAGGCAGCGGTGCTAGCTCTAGTCCATCCAAACATTGATACTGGAGGGTCGGGACAGACCCGCTATAGTGAAGAAAAGACTCCCCTAGCTCCCGGTGATGTTGTCAATATGCTGTAGTGGAATAAGTCTATAATACTTCATGATGTTCTTCATCGTGCTGTCCCGAAAATAAACTGCACAGTTTGGTAGCACGCTAGCTCCACACAGTTAGCCTCCTGCTCGAGGGCTGCTAGCAGGCTCATCACCACGGACCGCCCTCCCACACAGAGTGAGTTAGATGGTGGAGGCAGCGGCTTGTCATGAGATGGGACCGGGGGGATTCGGGGGAAACCGCTTGTTCATATGAGAAATACGGTGGTCAAAGTTGTTGTTGTGTTGCTACAGAGAGTCATATGCAGAGCCCACAGCAAATTATTTCACCGTGTGTGTGTGTGTGTGTGTGTGATGAAGCCTCCTGGGAGAAAAAGTAGTACTGATATAATGTATGATTCATTTATTCCATTGCATATTGTGCTTTATTGCTGCCACCTATGACATTATGTTTCCCTGCTTGTTTTTGAATATCTTTAAAACTACGTACCGTTTCAGTGGTGGAGTTACAGGCGAAGGGCAGAGGAAGAATTCATTAGTAACCTAATAAATGTTAATGCGCACTGGTTATGGTCTGAACTTGAGAGTTTGCCCATCCATCATTGTAAGTCATATATTCTAAGACAGGGCTATTCTCCAAAAATCAGGGCCACCATCAGCCAGTCAGTGCTATGTGTGATTGAATGCAGATAAAACTTTATGCAAAATATGCAAACTAATTTCAGGAGATTGTACAGCCTCGGCAGAGATATGTGCTCTCTGTGTGTGCTTTCTATATCCTGAGGAGATGGTTATTCGTTTTAGCTGTAGGGCCACAGTGTGTGACCAGAAAGAGTATTACAAAAACACTACAATGGGAGCATTATATATCCGTTTTAATTTATGAGATAACGTGGTGGTGGATACAGTAGTTGTTGTGTCAAGTTCATGACCCTGGAATCTGCAATCAGAAGGATTATTTTTTACTTTAAGCTTTGTGTGGCAAGCCCGGGCAAGTCTCTCCTTTAAATCTGCAAGTACATATTGTGTTATTACGTCTATATATATATATGCAAAGCCCTTTAAATACTAGATCTTTAAATGTTCATTGCTGTTGGGTGAGATACATTTTACAGTATACAATAGTTTTTTCAAAAAGAATATCATGTAATGTTTGGCATACCTTATGTTCATTCATGAAAGGCATTTTATTATGACATTATTTGGTCACTAAGATGGCAGAGGTCAAATAAGAACATGTTATTGTTTCAGAAAACAATAACATATGGTTATCAAAATCTAAGAAAGTTTGCGAAAGTTCTCATAATTGTAACATGCTTCAACAACACGGAGGAGATTTTTTGATGTGTTTTCCCCTGTCGATTAAGGTTGGTATAGTCACGTATATCACATGTGACATAGCAAGCACATGCTCATAGTACACTATATTTAAGATTACAAGTGTGACAAACTCTTGTAAAACATTTTACAATGCTTTAACACCATGCAAAATCCAGACATAGTTTTCCCTGTTTTAACAGCCAGTTACATGTCTGACAGTTTCCGCCCGTGAACATTCAGTTCACTTTTATAAACTGTCACATCCTCAATCAGTCAGCTGTTCCAAATGTCTCAACCAAAGAGGAAAGTTTGCAAGAGGTCACAGCAAGGTCGCCTCTGTTAAAACAATCTCTTTCATGTCATACTGTATGTCCATCACCGAACCACCATATGCTTGGGTTTTACAGCTGCTGTGTGGATTTCACCTCTTGATCTTCCCTATCTCCTCACACAGCCTGGAGAGGTACTGCGTGAGTTTCACCATCACGATGATGAGGGCCCCCCCTGTGAGCATGCAGGAGGGCCACAGCAGCGAGTGGAAGACAACGCTGTGGTCGTACAGCCTAGTCAGGAGAACGGACTCCTGCTGCTCGCTTGGGTCGTAGTAACAAGAGACCTGCTGGTTCACCTTCAGACGCTCAGAGATGTTCATGATCATGACGTGCATGGCCACGCTGTCCTTCTGGCACCTGGGCACATAGAAACACTGCAAGGACAGGATTGGAGGACACTGAGGTTATCAGTTGGTCATATGTTTTGTGTTGTTGACTGGGGATACATTTCTGTTGTTTCCCAGCATTGAATACATCACCCTTCATGTATCATCTTTCACCTTGACCAGGGATAAAAATCCTAATCCTATTGACTAACATTATCTGAATTGGGAACAGAGTAAGTCTATAATGAGGCCAACATCTGACAGCCATTGTCAACATTTGAAACGGTTCAGTAATTCTCAGTATTTTCCCTCTGGCACTGTACTCACTTCAGAGCTGGTGTCCTGGGTCTCCTCATTGTGAGATAAACGGCTGACACGGCCTGTGTTATTGACGCTCACGTAGACCTGCAGACAGGGGTATTTGGAGACTCTCCAGCACTCTGACCCACAGTTGTAGGAACAGTTCATGTCTGCTGTGACCGTGGAGTTGAGTACAACACACACACCCTCCTCTGTCCACACACTGTGTTGACATTTAAATGAAGATCCAATTTAATGCAAAAATAAATCAACTTGCTTGGGGTATAATTTCATAAAGTATTCATATTTTTGCAATTTTCAGGTTGAGAGAACAAGCACAAGCACATCTGATGAATAAAACATGTCAGTTAACTCCTTTTATAGGGTGTTATATGAAAAAATGACAATGGTAACAACAGGCCTGTACCTGTCTGCATATGAGCGTAATATAGTGATCCCCAGGACAAAGTACATCATGACTGAGGAGAGGATCATTCCAAGGCCCAGGAAAATGGCCCGATCTTCACCGGGCTTTAGAGCTGTCACTGTCTTCTTCTTGTCCAACAAATCTACCTCACGGAACTTCTGGTAGATTGACCTGATTGATGGGAAATGAGGAGGAGTCATTATTGCATATTGCAAATATTAAGACATAAAAATCAGTGCATGACAGGAAAGAGCCATGCATGGCCCATTTTCTCCTTTGTATTATAAGTCTATGTTCTAAGCCTCAATTGGTATGAACCTGTTCCTTTCATTTCCTCCTCCCGATCTAGCTGTATTTTTGGCCCCTGCCACAAAGAACATCTTCCCCGATGATCCACGTCCTCCTTTGCTTGCTGAAGTGGAACGGAAAGATTGCTGAAAAGACCTGTGAATTATAGCCAGTTTCATGTTCTTTAACAAGAGTACATTTTTTTGTTACACTAAATTACATTTTCACTACCAGGCTCATAAACATAACAGAAGTCCCAAGGAACTGGTTATGAAGCAAATTCGGAAGACAACAAATCATACTGTACCTTTGGTGCATATTTGCTGTCAAAGACTTTTGTAAATATGTCCAGTTTTGTACCAAAGAAATTTTAAGTATATGTCTCTCCCAATAACCCTGCAAACAGCAGTTCCTGATTATCAGAGCATTATACAGTGCTGGGACAGGAAGCACCCCTGATATAGTGGACTCCACCAGGTAAACATCTCATTTTGAACACAAAGAAACGCTACAAAAGGTAAACAAGATGACAGATAGCCACAGATGAAAGGTGTTAATGCTGATGAGGCGCTTGTTAAAAACCTACCTGGTGTATCCTGAACACTTCTGCTGTCAACACAAAGTCATTGGTTCCTCTCTTGGCACAACAACAACACCTTGCATGTAACTCCTCTCGCTCTCTGCCGCTCCTACCATTGGCAGAAAACACAGCATTGGAGGCTATGTGCAGCTTTGGTCCCATAAATAACATTAGCCTTGATTCAGATGCAAATGAATGGGCAAGTGAGACATTATGAGTTATTTGTTCTGGGTCACCTAAGGGTTAGGCTTAAGGTGAGGGTCGATGCAAACCCACTCTTGAGATTGCCCAGCATTTATTCAAAAACAAATGTATTTACGTGGCTAAGTTATTAGTTATGTCAGGTCATTTGCTCATATAAAGCAGTGATTTCACTGGCTTGTCAAACTCAACCATGAGTCAAAACTGAACAAGAAATACCAATCAATCAAGTAGGAATCAACATAAAAGAAATCATATTGTTTATTTAATTGCCTTCAGATGAATGATGAGTACAGAATGGATATACTGTTAGACATTCTGTAGCTATTATCCAGTCCTCTAGCATGTAACCACAATAAGCAGGCTGTTTTCATTTTGTGGAGGATAACAACCTTGCCAGACTGCTAGGAGCAGAATATTTAGAAAACCAGCCAACAAGTTCCTCTTAGATGAGTAATTTCCTCATTGTATTACATTCACAGCTGCTTTGAGCAAACGTTGCTGAGAGAAAACCCCAGTGTGACAGAAGAAATCTGAAGGAAACCATAAAATGTTATCTAGATTTATGCCTTCTTCAAAACATTCCACACAATTTTGCATGCACACCCACAACAAAGAGTCACACTTACATGAATTTTATGCTGTCTTACAACTTTTCTTCCTCCATAAAAGCTCGCTGACCATTGCCTCTGGAGTGCCTCAAGTCCCACACATAACTGTATTGATTTCAGCTAAACACTGAAACACACACACACACACACACACACACACACACACTTTCAGAAAGACTACCCTTACTCCTTATACCAACTTTACTATCAAGCTAAAGCTTTTAAAGGGCTTTGAGAGCAATGTATTTGTCAGTAGCTGTGCCTCCTGCTCCATGTAGGCTGGACTTGCAGTGGTAGGTGACTTCCTACCTACTAACTTACAAGGAATGGACAGTGACGCTGTCCTCCATGATATATGGGACAGGCAGTCTCACATTGTTGAGCCTGACCTTACAGAGCCTTCCAAGTTGGCTTCAAATAAACGAAACACATTTAAAACATTTAAACAAAATGTTCAGAATGTAAAATACATATTTTCCACATTCCAGATGCAATTCTCTCAAACAATACAATTTTCTCAATTATCAGAATTGACAGTTGTGGAAATGTCATCCATTCAAAACAATAAAAAAGTGTTTTCATTCTGGTAAAGTTTCTAAGACCTCTGGAATTTGAAATAATTGAAATGAAACACTTCTGAATCAGGAATGATGTCATAGTCAAAGGGTGAAGTGAAAGTGGTTCTGAATGACAGTCACCAACTTGAAGAATGGATTTCACATATATTGTGTCCTTCATATCACTGCTTATTTAAAAAGCTACTGAGTCTGCAGTGTCACCACATGAAGCGCTGGAGTGGAGGGAGACAGTTGCTGTGTGTCAGAGGAGGTGCTCCAACACCCCGCAATAGTGTGAAACTGCTTACCCCAGCAGGAACGTACTGTTCAGATTCTCCTATTATCAGTTTAATGAACTACATATCCTGAGCCAGAGGCAGATAGGACCAGTCGACCTCACTGTATATTCTTTATGGGTGTGTCCTTGGTTCTTATTTCTTCCAGCTGCCTCTCTCTCTCATCTTGAGAGACTCAGAAACGTGACTGAATGAGTGATAAACCAAATGGGCATGTGGTAGACACATAACTATACAACAGGTGTTATCTTATACAAGGATGGATTACTGAACGGGCCTTCTGGGTGCAGGCCCTGAGGCCCATGGGGGTAAGAACGCCCCTGGGCAGACAGCATCTTTTCATCTACGGAGTAAACTAATTACTGGATCTCAGCTGCAGTTTTTCAACAAACATCAGCACCTGTGAATTCGGCAGTGTGTCACTGAAATAAATGTAAAACAACTACAAAAAGTCTTTAAACGACCACAAAGAGACATAAAATGACAACAAAGAAACAACTACAAAGAAATGTGAAATGAAACAAAACAACTAATGAGAGACACAAAATGTCCACAAAACTATCACAAAGAGACACAAAATGACTGCAGAGATACAAAACAACTACAAAGAGACGGCAACACAAAACAACTACAAAGAGATAGTAACACAAAACAACTACAAAGAGACACACAATGACTACACAAAGGTGCAAAAAGACGAAAAAAAGAAGCAAAAAGATAAAAAAAATAAGTATAAAGAAACGTAAACGACCATGTTGTTTATAGGCGTTTTGTGTCATTTTGCTATTCTTTCAGTCTGGGTATCTTTCTCCTATGTAGGAGAGGTGGGGGGCCTCTTACATATCTGTGTCCAGGGGCCCATTGTCTCATAATCCATCTATAATCTTATATGACTATTTGTAACCTTTGGGTTTTATTGAGCTCATATTGTATGTTCACCATAAAAGTGTAATACAGGTGTGTGTGCAACATATGAGGGCTCTTGAGCTTTGATACAGCAAATTTTGCTTTAGTAGGTGTTTACTCACCTTGTGTGCTTAACGGCACAGTGGAATTCAAAGCCCGGCCTGCTATCAACACGCTCTTTGATAAAGAATGTCTCAGGATGTATTTTTTGCCTTGTCCTTCCAGTGATTATTGCTGCCCTGTCAGGTGTCCTGTAATGTTTGGTGCCTTTAAAAAGTCACATGCTCCACTGCACAGTACCCCACAGAAGTCTATCAGAGCAGTAAACACTGGGGGTGCAAACACAGTTTGAACAGAGCAGGGCCGTATAGGCTGCATGTTTCAAACTGTATGTGCAGTTCTCATTATTGCACACAATGTCAAAACCCAGAATTTAATTATGAGTATTTTGTAGTTGTTCACGGTCTTGTTGTTCAAACACAGAGGGGCGAAACAGCACGTGCCCATCATTACTATCCAGTTAAGACTCATTAAGACATCGATGAAAAAGAGGCTGTAAGGAATGCAATTTCCAAAGCTATCTTATACTGCAGATCAATCTAAAAAGCCCACATTGTAGCTCAGTCTGAGTCCGTATGAATCCATTTCACATGTATGAGATTAAAAATCTTTTGTATTTCCAGCTATGTGCAGTGTGTTGACCTTCTATTGTTTGATGGATCCTTTCTTTTTGACACATGGTACATGTACTTGCTATATGTGTTCACAGTCTCACTGTTTCTTTGTGGTGCCTGTAATAATCTCTTGTCTTTGCACATCCAAATTACAATAAGCTGTAGCTTTTGTGTGTGACTAGTGTGTGCTGGGTTGAAATAGCAGTGGTAATACATACAATCTGTGAAGTCCTACCTCTCGTCGATGTGTTGTTATGATAATCCAGACTTTGGGCTACAACTGTCAGCAGTGGCTTTCCAAAGTGGTCTGGGCTCCCAGGGACAGCAGCTGGCTACCTCTTATTTAAACTCTTACCCCAAGTGAACAGAATGCCTGTCATACCTGTGTTAGTAATATGAGTTCCTCGTACAATGTTGTCATGCTTAAAATGAGTTGGTCCAGCACAATGAATCTCCACTGTGCCTCCAAATAACTGGCTCCGGATGGCTCGACTGTGGGTCTGTCGCTATGTTTGTTGCAGGCACTGCTGCTCATCCACAGAGGAATTCAGCAGCAGTTATTTCAAACACTTGTGCATTTCCATGTCACAAATGTACAGTATGTGTAGGCAACTTGAAGGCCACTGCTTCAAACACTGTGAACAAATTCTGCCCCGTCCTGCCACAAGGTGTCTCTGCAACCTCAGAAACTGGAGAAAGATAAATTGGGTGGGGGTTTCCTCTTTGACTGATCACAAACAAGAGATCACATTGAGTGCCAGGGACTTTTTGGAGTGATGCTTTTAATTTGTAAAATCCCAAGTGTAAAAATGCACATTCAAAAATAGTCATATCATTTTTTGTGTGTGACTACTATAACACAGTAGATTTGTAGGTATATCAATCAAACCCATTTCAAATGATCCAGAGAGAATGAACATTGGAAACATGTGTTGGTAGTTTAAATGAACCTCCTAAAGGGAACAAAATGCATAAAAAATCTGGGGTTGGCATTGAATACGATATGCACAAATAATTATTTTTTATTTCACATTTTTGTAAACAAAGACTCTTTGAATGTTTATTTAAAAGAACAAAAAGTAAATGTAACATGTGGCATTGCATATTTTTCCAGCCAATTTAATCTGTAGTTTTCTAATGCTATGACTTCTCTGTAGGCAGTCATTTCCATGACAGTTCTGATCCGACCAGCTGGGGGATTTTCCTTTGCAGACCCCAGTTAATGAGCCAGCTTGGCTGTAGTCTTTACTCATCATCCTCGGCCCATGTGATTATAGAAGTCTGTCCCTTATAGCAGCAGCATCAGATCAGATTCTGCTAGAAGTGTGTACTGCTCACCACTTTGCATTTACTGCCTCCTCCAGGCCCCATCTGGTCAGAGAGTACAGTATAATACAAGACAATTTCCCTGAAGAACCCCAGAGCTCCTTGCAGCCTCATAGCTGAGATGCTTTCCCCTTTAATTATACCCTGACTTTAGATCTAGCCTTGAAAAAACAACAGACCCTTTTGCATACAGTAAGAAAGCAGGAAAATGTGCACAAATATAGCCGGATGAGGAAAAAAGACTCAAAGGCAGATGGAAAGGCGTTTGTATTTATTTGAGGTTAGGCCTAAACATTGCAACAAAGAAGTGCAGACTGTCTTCAAGTACCACATTTGGAGGTGAAATGATATAGTTACAGTGGGGATGAAAGGCGATTCTGCTTCTTTGTTTCTCGGGATCTAAAAATAGCTCTTGCTGAGCAGGCAGTGGAGCTGAGCTGCAGTCCCTCCTCTTGCTCCGTTTCCCTCTTTTTCTGTCGCTCACACTCTCACAGGAATAATGCATCATCCTCATAATGCTTGTGAGATGACTTGTAGCTCAGATGTGTAACAGCTATTAGGGTCAGGTTGGTCTGGTCTTATTTTTGAATTGCTGTTATTTAACATATAGCATAAGGAGTGTTATTGTGGTGATAGAGAGGAGTGTCACATGTGCTGTTGTGCATCTGCTGAATGAAATAACACAGTGGGCCCCAGTCTGAAGGTTGGGGCTCTCCAGTGAACATATTGTTCATCATACTTTGGATCTTTGTGATGAATGCCTTTAATGTAACAAAATTAACATCTGTATCCGCCAAAATAAAGCAAACGCAAATCAAACTTGTCAGATTTCCTAGTCTGTGTACATAAGCAACAGTTAATCACAAGTAAGAACTACTTATTTTGAGGGAGTTTACAAGCTTCTGATATCCAGTTATTATTCCTAGCTTGCAATATTTTCTTCAAGAAAGATGGAAATCTTATTCCATGTGTCTTTATCTTAGATGTAGCCACTAATCTCCTGTTCTTCTTTACACACAAACATACACTCACAAAAATGAAAAGGCAGTACTGCTGTTGCTAAGGCTGTTGATAAAGCTTGCTGCCACTTGTGTGGCAGTATCCAGGCAATTACACAATGCCAACAGGTCCAGCACATATTTATCAGTATTGCCGCTGTGCTCACATCCATAGCAACCTCGTGTTATTGTCCTGCAGATTAGTTCCCCGCCCCCACACAGAAACCATACTGCTGTATTCCTTCTAGTCTCACATTTATGGAGGGGAACTGTGCTCATCTCATTTTTAAGGTGGACCACTGTGTACTCTGCCGGCACAAACAGAACTTATGATTTAGACATTTTCATGAATGTTGACATGTGTTTTGCTATTAATGTACAGTAAAGAGTATGTGCATGCACTGTATATAAAAAGGGATGAGTAGGATTTACAGTCACAGAGAAGAGGTGAGTCAATTCACAGTATTTGCCTGTAGAGTGAATCATATATTGTGTAAAGCCTGGCATTGGAGAGGAGGAATTTGCTTCACATTTCTTCACTGGCAGCCAAAACAACATCACGCTGTGGGAGTGATGGAGCACATATTTCTGTTTCTCCTGGCTTGAGGAGAAACAAGCAAGAGACGGAATGTGGGAAATCACCCGTACACAAACTAATAGAGATAAAAAGCACTGAAACTGAAACCTGTTTTGCATATTTTTTCATTTTTGTGTCCGCCCCACATCACTAGGTTATTGACATTCAGACCATCTTTGGTAGCATCCTCCCTGCTTTGCTCTGTGTGAAGAAATTACAGTGTGTTGTAACATCCTATCACCCCTTAATATTACTGAGTGTGTGGCACAAGATAGGAGGTCTCTAGTGGACAAGTTGCAAGGATGGTGACAAAGGGCCAGATGAGCACTGAGATAATTGAGTGGGAGGATCAAACAGCTAAGAGGTTGAGAGGTAGCAAGGCAGAAAATCAGTGGACTGCAGTAGCATACAGCGTCTGCTACAACCAAATCCATCACTCAACACAACAACACAGTCAATTAGATAGGCTATACAAATAAATGCCTTTTACATTTTTACCATCTGATTGCATGCAAATGTTGTCCTTCTGCCATATTATCAGTTTTAACTTGGCTAAAGGTGATATGCCAAGCCATTTTTGCAAAGATGAATTATATATCTCACAAAAACACATATGCAGACATTTTATGATGACGTTGTGGTCATTGTTTGGTTTTCTTGTGCTTGTGAGGATGCACAGAGCGTGAGAAATAAAGAGGGGATGTGTGTGCATCTGTGCTCCCAGCAGACATTATTACATTTATGGTAGCAGGAAGAAAAAAAAAAACCCCACTGAATATGCTGCACCCTTTCTGCAGCTGTACAACTAATTTAACGGTTCCTAATTCAGCATTTCATAATATGTCATCATCTCCCATTGTAAAAGGCTGAGGCAGTGCAGCCACTTAAATGGGGACAGCCACAGCCACACAAGGTACGTTGTGTTAGAAGATACATTACAGAATTTTGAAGGTCAGCACCCATTTTTTCCTTTTTTTTACTCAAGTGAATCTTAAATGATCAGGGTACAGCATGAATACTCTCAGACTATCCTCTTCGTTTAGGGACATTTGGGGAAATTAATATGATTATAGATTATGTATACAGTTAAAAAAAAAAAAAAAAAAAAAGAGTCAGTGTAAAACAGAGATTGCAATGATGATGTAAGCTTGTTGTTGACTTCCCCAGTCTGAATGACTGAGCACAGGATAGGGGGTGGGGTGTCATTAATCCATGGCTAGTGGTGACCACACAGGCAAAAAAGAGGTGTAAGGGGGATGGGCGAGCACACTGTTGTTATGACTGGTGCTTGGCTGCGGGACAAAACTTCCAGAGGCCTCGGCATTTTTCTCTGCTCGATCTCATTGGTCGGTTTCAACGAGGAAATGTGGCTCCATTTTGCCGTGAACCTGTCAAACGAACCAGGAGCTAATATTTGATCAGCGCCTGAGGACGGCTTTCAAGCTTCAGCAAACCACGAGGTGTTTTGTTTGTCTGGTGCTTTTTGGAAAAAATAGGTTAGTCACCGATATAGTTTTATATCCAAGTTCCGCTCGATGGACATCTGAAATAACGTTGTTGATAAAAAATAGGTAGTAGTCTTACATAAGTTTCCCCCCACTCCACTTTGTCGTATTGGACCGAGGAGACAGTGGATGTATTGTACCCCGCCGTCGTCTCCAGTTCATCGTTATATTGAGCTTTACAGAGTGGCGGTTTGAAACAACAGTAGTTACAGGCAGCTCATTTTCGCCTGTCAGGTCAGGCCACTGTGTCGAGTGTCTGAAGCCGTTGCTGGCTTCTTACCGCCTGGCTTTACTTTAAATATTATTACCTAATGAGAGTTTGTCACATATATGTGCCAAAACGAGCTTTCTTGCGATCGATTAAAAGCGATAACATGGTCTGACTTGAACACAAGAGCCGTGGAAGATATCGTCCATTGAAAGGTTTTTATCCAAGTAGGTACGAGATTATAGCAACACTGTCATTAGCATAGCATGCTAGTGCTAGCCACCTAGCTAGCTTGTTAGCAGGTTAAAGTGATAGCGAGCTGACGATCTCGCGGTACTCGTCTGAAACCCTGCTTCAAAATGAGCTAATTTAACGTTATTGTATTCGGTTATATAAAACCATTAAAATCAACGACAACCCCTAACATGTTAATTACAGTACTTTGGTAGTTAATTGTTGGTGATTCGCATCAAATTTGCGAAATCTTTGACCGCCTTGCCTGACTGGTGTTGGCGGTGACGGGTACGGCCGCCGCCGAGGCAAAACTAATGTGAACTCGCATGTTAGCCACTGAGCTAACCTCACTTGGCTTATAGCAGTGTAGATTTGGCACCGCGTTAAAATGGGTAGTAAATAATAAACGGACTATTACAGCAGCTAGCGAGGTGAGGAAGAAGACAACGCAAGTAATGCGCGTTTACTTGGCGCCGATAAAACCCATTCCCATCGTACATCTACTTGGTGACCCATGACATGTGGACAGTTGTCAGCCTGCCGCTGCATTACACCAGTGATTAGTTAAATCATTATTACACTAAACAGGAAGGGCGCTGCGATGCATTGACAGTTGAAGAGACATTTGACAACAATAAAGTTAATTTTGAGCCATTCATCTGCACAAACTGGGGCTGCTGACTGTCTTGCTCGTACAGCGTGTCGGAAACGTACACACTGTAGTTTGTTCAGCCCATTCAGTCGCCACGGTGTGTGGGGGATGGGCGGTGTATTTCCGCAACTAGCTTGCCATGCTATCTTGCTAATTTAGCTACCGGCAGATAAGCATGGTGACATAACTTGCATGCATTTAACTTACACGAAATCAGTTTGACCTGAGGAGTAGCAGATCAACCAGGACCAGCAGTCACATTGAACACAACACTAAGTCTGACTTGTGTGTGGATGTGGCTACATGCTAGACTGACTAAAACGCCACAGTCTTGGGTCCCAGTTGGTGAAACATTTTCCATCAGTGAGATGCTGGCTACTATTGCAAGCAACAAGCATCTACAATGATTTACAATCATGGCATGTTTATTTAATTTCCTTACATAATACACAAGCATACTTCCCCTCAGGGATAGTTACGGTGTGCTTAGCTAAAAGATCCACTGGCTGTTTTGGCTTTTTACATTTCTGACCCAGTTTCTCTTGTTTGGTGACACACCCCTTTGTTTATTACACTTTCCTCTGGCTCTTTTACCCACTCACTGACATGCTGCTAAAATGTCCAATCTAATTATGAAATAGTTTGTCACAGCACTGATAGAGAATCCCTATATTCTGTAAATATCTGGCAGGGCCTATATGGTTCTTGTTCTACTTAACCAATATTTAAACAGTACTCTGTGTTTAAATGTGTTAAAAGTGTTACTTAAGCATTACTTTGGGGAGTCAGGGCAGATTACTGAAGTGCCGTACATGGAGAGAGGTGGTCTGAAGTCTTAAAAGCACGCCAAGGAGACATGAATTGAATTAATTATTTTTATTTCTTGCTTGCTGAATTATTGATACTAATGCGTTTATTAATCATTTTGAGTGCAAGTGATTTCACACTGGAGGCACAGTCCATTCTTTATCACTAATATGATGTAATGTCCACTCCTGTTATTATTTAAGTATAATTCAGGAGTTGGAAGAGGTGCATTCAATTTCTTTCTTTTCCTCTCAGGGACTGAGAGTTCTTGCTGAGGACAACACAGATATGATGCGCATCTGAGGACATCTCGATCACATGGGTAGTGTATCTCACTGTTTAATGTTAGACTTGTGATCTTTTTTTTTCTCCACGTGTATAGATTTTGTTTTGCCTCCTTCTATGGCGGCATTCTTATACTGCTGTCTGAAAAATCACATTGCTTTGGCAAAGAGTCAAGAGTCATATAGAGAAGAGGGTGGCTGTAATTTAGCTTTGTATCCAACCAGTGGGAGGACTTGAATAAAATACTGGTGTATTGGAATGACTCAGTCAAGGTCAACATTTCCCAAAAAGGGTTGGAACATGGATAACTTGCTTAACAAATAAGACTTACTCAAATTTTCACCCTGAAATAACCCAGTTGTTTACATAAGTGTTGCAGTAATGAAGCGCTTTAATGGGTTACCACTAGAATTTTTTGCTTGCTTGTAAATTTAAAGAATATCCTGCATGCCTTGTTGTTTCCAAAACAAGCTGAGGTTGCACGTAGGAGACTTGGTTGTTGTGGCTTCACTTAAGGGGAGTGAGCTCTTGGTAAGAATATAGCCGATGACAACAGGAAAGAAAGACAGACACGACACCAGTGGTATTTCATTGTTGTCTTGAGATCATAAGGTTGGTCTGAGTCTCTTTATTAGTGTGGTGGTTCCACTGCCAAATTGATATACAGTGCTTAAGGTTTGTGTGACACTGGTTCAGAACACTACTGTGCACCACCACAGTCTATTATTTCCCCCCGCTATAGTTTCATAACAAACTGAAAATATTTTCACACTTCTCTAACATTGTGTTTTGCACTGTTGCTTCAGCAAAGCATCTCTCACTCACAGTACAAATATCTGCGATCGATTAACTAGTGGACAGTCTCCCCCTGCTCTGCCCTTCCTGTAGAGTCTTCAGTCAGTCACACTTCTCGACAGAGACAGTCACTCTTTAGCGCAGTGAACACATTAGCTGTTGCCGATGTCATTTGTTACCATTGGTTTCGATCATTTTGATGTCATTAGCAACGAGCCTCCTTTACGCGCGGATCATCTGCGGTTGTTAAAACGTAATCGCGGGTGAAAATAACATCTCAAATGCTTTTGGCGGACTTTATGACACTGCTGAAGAAAGTGAACAGAGACACATACGTCGCTGCCCATGCCATGCTAAAACTATCATCCTGTGGGAAACACTGAGACGCTCTGCAAAACATAGATGTGCAACTGTGGGAACTGATTCTGAAACAACAGCTTTAAACCAAATATATGTCGGTTAAGAGTGTGCAGTAAATGAACATATATATGACCCTCATATCTTTCCAAGAACACATACATTTTATGTGCTTGCAGGTGCACAATCTGGGGGTGTCTTGGGTGGAATTCTTTGTTTGTAATGTTGATTCAGTTGTTTGTTGTTGTTGTTCTAACAATTTAGAAATACTTTGTGGGTGGTCACTGTAACTCAATGTCCGAAGAATGACTTGTTGCCCTTTTTAAGTGGGTTGCTGAAAGGGAGACAGGAGATACTCGGGATAGAGCAAGACAAAATATGGCATGGACACCAATCAGGATATTATAATTTAAAAGATTAACTAATGCTTTTTTTATTCAAATGCTTTGAATCTCAAAATTGTGATTATTTGCATTTTAAATCACATGTTGAAATACACTTGATACTCTGTTAAACATCATTCAAATGTATTAATAATCATAAAGAATACACAGCTTGACACTAATACTAATCAGTGACAAGACAATCTTAAATTGGTTTTCTAACCAAAAATGTTGCACACTGCCACATGTTGCACCGAGCACCCTTCTCTGACAGTAATCTGTACAAGAAATGCAGTGCGAGACCTACTTGGGCACAGTTCAAGTACAGTCTGGACTTGTGGTAATGTGAGCCTAATGTCAATGAGTTTAATATCTTTAGACCTCTCCATTCTAGCTGCTTGACAGCCAATGACTTCATAGGCCTGAATCTTTGGGAGTGTTTCTGAACTATTAATTTGATGAGGTTAAACTTTTCTACCTTTTAAATTAAACTGAGCAATTCAGCTTAGGCTCAATTTCTACTTTCATAGCTACTAATTAGGCTGTTTAATGCTTTAAGACACCTACAACTGAAAATACTGTGATGCAACATAAGTCAGTCATGTGACGATATATCCTTTGCATGTGTCCCCCTGTGTCTAGTTAGCAGCTGTTTGTGTTTTCGGACAGCAAAATGATCCAGGTAATGAATGTCAGCGCTCTTGATTAAGCTATTGATCAGTGCAGATGTTCATAAAACAGTCATGTTGAACTTCATGTCAGCCAGATGAATCGGTCGACATAGTCTAGTAAGTGAGCTCTGACCCCGTTTACTGCACCTGCGTCACTTGCATGGTGATGACATTTGCCAGCACCCTTTCAAAACAGGCTAGTGGCAGATATGCAAGAGTGCTGCATCAACATGCTTGCAGAGCACCATAACAACACTGAACCTTAAACCAAATGTAATGGAAAAACACAACGCATTGTAACAACGTGAGCGCAGCACCGGTGCAATGGAAAAAGCGCATATCTTGTTAGAATCGTGCTGGGTTTTATGTAGAAAGATTATTATCTCATCATAAACAGGAGTCTTCTGTGAGATATTCTCATTTTGTCCAACTAAGTTCCAGCAGAAGTGCTTCAGTGTGAGAAACACTAACAGTCAGGACTTTCTGACCACCTTGTCGGGGATAGCTGAAGGGCTTGTACTAGATTCCAGGCTTCTTGGTTCAGTTGGTCTTGGATCTCAGCCTCTGGGATGTGGCAGGAGACATGTTGACTTTTTCAGCGGACTGGCATTATGGAAACAGTGGAGGTTCTGTCCCCCATCCAGACCCCTTGTTTATTTCCATAGTCCCATTTTAAACAGTGCGGGTTCTGCATGAATAAATACGGGGCCTGGATGCAAGCACTGCAGGATCTGTTATTGCTGAGGTTTAAGTCCCATCCCAGACGTTTTAAGCCAAAAAACCCAGCCTTCCTCATGAAGACGGCTGGTAATTATTTCCAGTTGTAGGTTAATGAATGGAAACTGGTGCCCTGCCTAGAGCCAGGAAGCTTCTGCAGCATACAAAAGTAGGGAGAAACGAAACATCATTATTTATCAAATGGCAGATCACAGCTTGAGTTTGCCTACTTGTCTGTTTTGAACTTGCAAGATCTAGGTCAAGCAAGGTGATGTTTTTTTTTTTTAACCTCTTCCTCTTCTCAGTTTTCACCGTGTGTGCCAGTTTGGTAGTGAGCTACGTAGTTAGTTCATAGTGTAACACCATCCTCAGTTTGGGTGTGTGACAGCTCTCCTTTACACCTGGCTCAGTGCCCCTGCATGTCATCTTCCTTTTTACTATCCATTTATGTTTCTATGGGATGTTAATGCACCTGAGTAATGAAGATACTACTAAAAGCTCATTTCAGCTCAGTTCTAAGGTGTGTAATGCCATCAATCCTAATTATGCAAGACTCTCTGCTTTGTTTTTTTCACAGGCTCCTATCCTGTGCTGACCCAATGGTTTAATCACCAGGACTAAAAATGAGCATAAGCAGTGATGAGGTCAATTTCCTGGTTTACAGATACCTACAAGAGTCAGGTATGTGTATATTTGGGGTAAATACCTCTCGGAATTGCACCTGTTTTCCTACTTTAAAAAATGTAATATGATACACTGCTGCTCTATTGAACTTTGACTCCATCTTACTTTCCAAATGATCCATTCCTCCTCCAGGCTTCTCTCATTCAGCATTCACCTTTGGCATAGAGAGCCACATCAGCCAGTCCAACATCAATGGAGCCCTGGTGCCCCCTGCTGCCCTCATCTCCATCATCCAGAAGGGCCTGCAGTATGTGGAGGCTGAAGTCAGCATCAATGAGGTCAGCCCCCCCCAAAACCGTCTACTACTAATTACTGTAACCTTACAATGTACTGTTAAGAAGAGGTGCACTTTTAGCTTTATGTTTTGGCTCAGGTTTGGTTAATGCATGAAGTCCATTTGGTAGATAGTGTGAATAAATACATTTGCATGTTGTCTCTGTAGGACGGGACCTTATTTGACGGGCGGCCCATCGAGTCGCTGTCTCTGATTGATGCTGTGATGCCAGATGTGGTCCAGACCAGGCAGCAGGCCTACAGGGACAAGTTGGCCCAGCAGCAGGCGGCAGGCAGTGGCAGCAGCACAGGGCTCCAGGGAAGCACCAAGAATGGAGAGGGCGCTGCCAACGGGGAGGAAAATGGATCCCACGCCTTGGCCAGTAAGCTAACTCATTGTTTTAAACAATATCTGAATCAGGTCCTTAACAGACATATGTGTTTTCTTGAGCATGTCTAAAAAATTCTTGACTAAATTCTAGACTTTTTTTAACGTACTTATTCCGGATGTTATTCCAGCGTTATATGACTTAATATAATAAGATGTTTATAAGATGCTGTGTAAGCTGTGATATACACAGTGGGTGACCACTGGATGAGAAATGACCTTCATGCTGCAGACAGAAAATGAAAGATGATGATTAGATAGATTTTTCCATTCATAATTTCCATAGAACATGCTTTGTATGTACTCTAAGACTGTAAGACACTTCTTACCACATGGAGTTAAAAGCTTACCGTGTGTGTGTGTGTGTGTGTGTGTGTGTGTGGGTACATGTGCTTTCTTATGACAGCTGCAGTACAACTTTGGGATTTTGTTTTGTAAACATCTGTGGTTTTCTTGGCATTACATAACTCAACTCCGGTGTTGTCTTTACATCCAGACATTTCCATGAGGTTTTGTCCCACCTGTATAGCTCTGTTTTCACCTTTTCCTAGCATAACATTTTTTTTATTGTGTTTGTTTCAGCGTAGAAGGAAACATGTGGTCTGGTTCTTTTCCCCCAAAACCTCCTCCTCTTCCCAACGCATTTTATTCACGATAACACACTGGGCCCCAGAATCAAATTATCGAGTGCTACTGAGGGGCAGTTTCAGGTTCTCACAAGCTCTCCAACATTAGCTTACTCACATACACTTACATGGTTTTTTTTTTTTAAAAAAAAAAAAAAAAAAGCCCCCCCCCCCCTTTTTTGTTAACCCTCAAAAAACTTTTTGTTCCCCACAAGAAAAAAACCCCCCTCCCCCCCAAAACCCCCCCTTGTTTTTGTTGGGGTTGATTCAAAGAAAGCCTTTGTGAGGGGAAATGTTGGTAATTAATTTCAGAAGTGAAATTTTACTAGAAGCAGTGATTCATTACATCTTGTTTATATTCCATTAGCCATGGAAATTTCAATTGCATCCCCTTTACCTTCAGAACGTTAGGACTGTAATTAATGAATACTGTTATGAAAATTTGAAGTTAAATGTCTTGTTTACCTTTTCCTCCTGTAGATCACCACTCAGACATGATGGAGGTGGACAGGGACGTAGAGATCCCCCAGAGTAAAGCCATGGTCTTGAGGGGCCACGAATCTGAAGTTTTTATCTGTGCCTGGAACCCAGTGAACGACCTCCTCGCCTCCGGGTCAGTATCTCTACATCATCCCTCTCTCCCCCGTGGTTTTCACTGGTCACGCAGTATCTAGCATGGAAAAGTGTCATTTTTACAGGACAGTTATGTCATGTAATGCATTAGTTTCTTTACTTAGTCACATTATTAGCACATCGTTTACATTTAATACAAATGCTTATTTGATCACAGCGTTCAACCATAATTGAAAAATACACAGCAGCAACTGTTCGAATGAGTCCCTCTGGTCCTGTTTGTGGCAAAGAGTAGGTTTAACTTGCATGTATGAGGAAAGTAAGCTTGTTAAGTAAGTCCTTCCTCATTTATCAACTTAAACACATTTTTGTTGACTGAAGTTGTTGTTTTTGCTGTGTCATTATCCTTCCCCAGATGAATGTGAGCATGCAGAAGAATCTCTTACAATGTAGTGTTTATTTAAGAGCAAAGTGTATTTCACAATATTACTGTGATGCTGGAAATGTGATATATTTTCCAGTAAGAGCTAATGACTAAAGGCTTATTGGGCATACTGACTGACTAAGCAGTTATTTGTTAACCAAGACCCTGCTGATAGATCAGTTGGATGATTGGATCATGTTGGAGGTTGAGTGTACGACAATGTATTCTTGTACAACAGTTTGGTGGGTTAATGGTGGACTTGTAGTTCCACATGTCAAACCGAGACGTCTGTTACAGTTCTGACATCTTCAGCAGTCTGCACTACTTGTGTTTTTGGCTTCAGCAAAACCGAACAGTTGGTCTCAAGAGTAGGGTTGGGTTCTGTTAACACTATACACCTCTTAGCTGATTAGGCCAAACCACAAATATTGCATTTCACTGTATTCAGTTATTAAATTTTAAATGCACAGCTTTATTAGTCCCCAGTTCAAACAAATCCTCTCATTGAAAGAACTATCTTATCCAATGATGTCGTTTGTTTACATCTCCCCCCCCCCCCTTTACTTCCCAGTGTGTTTGTCAACATGGCTCAGGGGAGATTCCTAAATTTCTGAGCTGTCATACAAATAGAAAAGAAGCTAAATATATGTGATAGGACAAGATGCACAACCTGGTCTGCCCTTTACAGCTTTTGCATCCCTTCAGATCAAACAATAGATGCTCTGGACTAAAAATAAGTTATTTTTATTTTTAGATTAATGTGACTTTGTGCAATAAGTTGATTGCTCCTTCAACACCCATCCAAGGATAGACCAACTGTAAAATGACCCTTACCGCTAAACCAAAATAACAGTTAAGTGTTAATCCATGACGCTAATTTCCTTCGCAGAACATAGATAGATAGATCGAAGCCTTTGTCAGTAAGATAAACTGATTTAACTTCATCTCTTCATCATCTTTCTAAACTGTAAATTTTCTCCTGCCTAAATCAACAATTTAGTGCTCATTTATAAAAGTAGTCAGCACGAAAGAGGGGAGTATTCAACTAAATATAAAACAGTCCTGCTCCTAAGCATGGACACACCCCTCAAAATGAAATGAACATGAAGAGAAATGCAATTACTTGTGGCACAGTCCTGTAATTTAAGAGGGGCTGCATCAGGGGCAAATGTCCACAAAAACCACATAAAAGTTAATGAGTTTTGTGCTTGTAAAATTTCTTTCTCCTTTTTCCTCAACAGATGATGTGAAAAGGTTTGATAGGGATTTAAAAAGATTTCGGATTTGATACTGGGTTCAGGTTCGATAAAATGCTTTCAAACCCCAACCCTACTCAAGAGCAACGATGGTCAGTTTTATACCATTTTCAGTACTGATTCTAAGAACCAAAGCTGTGTTATGTGTCTAATGTTAGTGTGTGTGTGTGTGTGTGTGTGTGTGTGTGTGTGTGTGTGTGTGTGTGTGTGTGTGTGTGTGTGTTGGTTCGGGCAGGTCCGGGGACTCGACTGCAAGGATCTGGAACCTGAGTGAGAACAGCACAGGCGGGTCCACCCAGCTGGTTCTGAGGCACTGCATACGGGAAGGGGGCCAGGACGTACCCAGCAACAAAGACGTCACCTCACTAGACTGGAATGTGAGTGTGTGTAGTTGAACAGTGACTGTGTGTCTGTTACATTGAGTGCACATTCTAGTAATCTAATCTAGTGTGTGTGTGTGTGTGTGTGTGTGTGTGTGTGTGTGTGTGTGTGTGTGTTTGTGTGTGTGTCTGGCGCGCCTATGACCGCTACTTCTGTTAAAGGCATTCCTTCCAACCAGATATATGGGGGCGAGTCACTCCCACAGGGGAAAAGGCCTTCATGTTGCTCAGCTGCAAACTATTTTTTGCCTGAGTAGTGCAAGTCAGTGCACAACGCTAAATCAGCTAATATTTTATGTCATTAACGACTTGCTTCTGAATGCGAGCCTCATTAACAAACAAAGCAGAATATACCTGTAAAATTAGGCACAGTTCTACTTGAATCAGAATCTGCAAATAAAACTGAGAAAGCGTGAATGCAAGTAAATCATCTCTCTCTTTCTCGCAGAGTGAGGGAACCTTGCTAGCAACAGGCTCATATGATGGCTTTGCTAGAATATGGACAAAAGATGGTAAGACTCTTCTCTTCCGCTTCATCGTAGCTTTGCAAAGATGCGTGGATGGTGAAATGTTTCTGCTCTCTTTCCAAGTTGTGTTGCACTTTTATATTTTTAGGAAACCTGGCCAGTACTTTGGGTCAGCATAAAGGTCCTATATTTGCACTCAAGTGGAATAAAAAAGGAAACTTCATCCTCAGTGCTGGTGTAGACAAGGTAAGGCCCATTGATTTTTAGCTTTCAACTTTAGAGTTGAATAAGTTTGATAAATGCATCTGGGCTGCTCTTGGGGGCATTGCCGCTTATTCCGTATTCAGAGTTACCACTTTAAATCTGCCTTCAAATTAGAATGTGACATATTTTCCATGGAAACAGGATGTTGAGGTGGGATTTAACAAAGTGAGGGATGATGCTAAATGGGATGTCTGATGGGAGCTGTGGGATTGTCAAAAAATGTGTGATGTTCCTTTTGTTCTGTAAAAGGTGAAACTGTTTTCCAGGAAGCAACAGTTTTCTAGGATGATAAAGCCAAAATAATCAATATTTTTATAGTCATGATGGATAAAATGACAATGTGGTGGGTTGCTCGTCGTGATAAACCCACAGTGGCGATTATCCTCTGGGAACAGCGGCCAATGTGTGGGGCCTTCTGGTGTAGCCAGTGGATAAATTGGGCCAAGATTTCCTCTTCTATGCACCAAATGCTGATTATTCTTTGCAGTACGATTCGCTTGAGGCATGAATGCAGATATGTATTTTTTAAAAGCTGATAAAAAGCAAAATTGTCGTCAGATCATAGCCGATGGGTTCAATCTAGTCTGTGCAGTACTTATTACTTTTATTTGCAACCAAAGCCCACTCAAATACTAACAGTCAAAACTACTCTAGAATACAAACGGAAACCAGGATCTTGTCCCTTGCCTACACATTGTGTATTCACATGCTGACATCTGTTTATAGAGATTAGCATGCGTGTGGACCGCAGACCGGTCTGGGCAGATATTGTGTGCTGTCCTCAGTGTATACCTGCAGGGACTGCTTACACTAACACAAAATGTTAAGGACTGACAGAAAGTCAGATAGACACGCTGACGTCCTGTCACAAAATTACAACAATTTGTGGACATTGTTCAACATTGCCATCTAGTGATCTAAAGTATAATGACATACACAGTGTCGCCTTGATATCTTGCAAGTATGTAAAGGCCTTAGGTGTGTGTTTCATATATGAACTTTCTTGTAAATCTCCTCCTCAACCTGTGCTCGGTATTAAGAACTGTTTTTCTATAATGTATGTGATGTATTTGTTGACTTTCTAACATGATCAATACTAATTTTAGTATAAATAATGAAAATCTCCTCCTTCACACAGACCACAATTATCTGGGACGCCCACACAGGAGAGGCAAAGCAACAATTTCCTTTCCACTCGGGTGAGTGACAGGAGTTGCTCGATTGTTCCACATGCCCTTTCTTGCAAGAGTGTTCTTTTTGTTTTTGTTTTTCATTTATAAAATTATCAGATTAAATGTGGCAATGGAAAATCTACCTCACTGCTGCAGCGGCCCTAAACTCTGTCTCCTCCCCCAAACAGCACCCGCTCTGGATGTAGACTGGCAGAGCAACAACACGTTTGCCTCCTGCAGCACAGACATGTGCATCCATGTGTGTAAGCTGGGTCAGGACAGACCTGTCAAGACCTTCCAGGGACACACGGTAAGAAAGGACTACTGTGTGTGTGAGAGCTTTCTGACAGGGAGGGAAATGGAAACCTTCTGAATACACTCCTGTTCTTGAAGCATTGTGGGATAGCTAATATGAATCCTGAATGTGACTCACTGTAGCATCTGATGGAAGTTAGTAATGGTTTTAAGGTGCATATCTTCACAGCTCAAACAACCTTTAATGGAAAACAGTCAATATGCAATGTTTTTATTTTGTAGAATGAGGTGAATGCCATCAAGTGGGATCCCACTGGCAGCTTGCTGGCCTCCTGCTCGGATGACATGACACTGAAGGTCAGTCCACATAACATGCAGATGTAGTACAGTGACTCAATGGCTAAGATGAGCACAGAAATGGACCTGAATCAGACAAATACCTGATTGAATGTGTTGAGGTCATCTGTAATAAAAGCCATAGTAACAACTGGCTTCTTCCTCTCTGGCATAGATCTGGAGTATGAAGCAGGACTTGTGTGTCCATGACCTTCAGGCCCACAGTAAAGAAATCTACACCATCAAGTGGAGCCCCACAGGCCCCGGGACCAACAACCCTAGCGCCAACCTCATGTTGGCCAGGTAAGGCCTCAAAGCAGCACCTTTTTTTTAAAATACCATAAATAAATTGGAATATTAAGAAAAAACCTATATTTTCTCATGAATGATATGTTTTCATAATTTTGTGGTGATATCACAATAGTCTCAAAAAATCTTTATTGCTGCATTTCTAATAAGTTGTACAAATTCTGTATCCACTGTTCTTGGTAGCAGTGCCATTCCTTGATGACTTCATGTATAAATATTTGACAGTGACCTCAGGGCTGCTGCTCATATAATATTCAGGTTTGACTTGGTCTCTTCAACTCAGGCACCAGAATTGGCTCTGCAGATGTTAGTATCACTCAGTTACGTCTTAAGCTATTGGCTGAATGACTATTGTGAGTCACCACACGGCCAGCTTGAATGCTTTTCAGATGCACCCTTGAATGACCCTGAGGAAATAATGCAGGGTCGAGCAGATCAGAGTGGGCTTTCCACCTGAACAACCCTAACATCCTGAGGTGCCTGAGGAGAATTGACAAACGGACATTGCTATCCACGTATAAGACAGTATCTCTCTGTGTCTCAAAAGAAGAAAGAAACACAATTGAATGAAAAGGCTGGGTCATGTTCACTTCAGTAAGCAGTTCATTGTAATGCAGCATGACTCTCGGCCACTTGGCTCACTCCTCTTCTTGTCCCCCCTCTCCAGCGCATCATTTGACTCAACAGTGCGTCTGTGGGACGTGGAGCGTGGTGTGTGTATCCACACGCTGACCCGCCATCAGGAGCCTGTCTACAGCGTGGCCTTCAGCCCTGATGGCAGGCACCTGGCCAGCGGCTCCTTCGACAAGTGTGTCCACATCTGGAACACTCAGGTCTGGGATAATACTTTCAAATTATAACCATACACCAGGGTGTGAAGTTTACCTTTTTTTTTTTTTTAAATGATAAAACATCTACTAGCTTCTGACAGATAAATGTTAAAACTCACCAGTCATTCTTTTTATCATGAATTTGTGTCTGAAATCTACCAACCACTTTCATATTTTACCAGCATTTGGCTAGTGCTTCCCACGCTGCCACTAATGAACAATAGCCATTATATTATAGCCATTATAACAGGTGGTATAAATACATAGGGTAAAGATGTTGCCAATCATTACTAATGTGTATGTGTTTGTTTCCTCAGACGGGGGCTTTAGTCCACAGCTACCGGGGGACAGGAGGGATCTTCGAGGTGTGCTGGAACGCCACAGGGGACAAAGTAGGAGCTAGTGCGTCAGATGGATCGGTGAGTTGTGCTGCCTGAGCTCTTCGTCACACATCATTAACTAAAAGTGGTAGCCACCCACACACACTTTGGCCCCTATGTACAACTTCCACATTGGACTGCTGACCCAGGAAGATTGTGGGTCAGCTGTGTGTATTAAACGTTTGACCCAGGTAAGCTAGCACCGTAAAGTGCCTCTGGTCTGAATCGTGGATGACACTGAGATCAAACCTGGTTCTGCTGGGGATAAAAGTTAATGTGCTTGACTTATGACATGGGGCTTCTTTGTTTCATTTATCAAACATGTGCATGTAGCTCAGAGGACATGTGTATCCAGTCACTTGAGATTGTCTAAGGACTGACCAGCATTTATACACTGCTGTGCTGACTGTTGGGTCTTAATCAGAGTTTACTGCTTGAAACGTAACCTCAAATTGAATGAAAATGTTACATTACAGTTGATGTTGCAGTGCCGTTAGTTAACACTAGATAGAGCCATTAGTGTCTGAAAAATCAGTCACGTTCGACTACTGCTCACTAGGAGTGTAACGGTACACACAGATTTACAGTTGGGTTATCTACCTTGCTTTTGGGGTCACGTTTCAGTACGTTTTTGGTACCACAGGTAAAACAATTTTAATTTAAAATACCATTTAATTTGAAAAATTGACAAATTCAGCAGTGGCAATTAAGCCACTCAAATACTGGAATATTGTCAATAAGAAAAAATAAGTAACACAGATGTCAGTAATGGTCCATTGTAAGAGAGCATTAAGTATCTGCTGCTTGTGCTTGTTTATACAGGGCAGGCTCAGCAGACTCAAATGCACATGTGAGGGCATATTCTAGTGGACCTCAAGCACTTTGTCCATATGTTAAAGTCCAGTATCCTCTAGCCTGAGTATATTCCCATATCTGCAAAGATAAACACTTCAGTTATTACTTTGTTCTGAATCTTCAGTGAGAGGCTGCCTGAACGCTGTGGGGAGAAGGACTTGCCTTCTGGTCTGTTTTTGTCCCTTCTGCTAATGGTCGAGAGATGCCGTTGTAAATGAGCCCTTCTGAAGTATTTCCACAGATGTACTGGACTTCAGTTGAACAATGTCGGCATACAATCTTTGTCCTTTTTTACTGTAACTAAGCGGGATGCCACAATGCTCCCGTACAGTGGAGCAGCGGCACTATTACGTCTGTCCCTTAATAGTCGAGTTGAAGATGAGAGGAGTCTTAGTCGACAACTTTTCATTAGTTGGATAAGTTCAGAAAAACAAATGCTCAGCAGCCTCCCAGTGATCAAGGCCCTGATTTACAGTGGCTCCGACCAGGACTAGACACAGCGTGTTCAGACAGGGACAGGAGAAGCATAAAGGGAGAGATGGAGAGGAGTGAATTTGTCGCAAGTTGGTTTGTAAGTAACTGTTAACGTTATACACTTAATAACTACTGGTCAACTTCTAAAGTCTTTAGTCAGGAACTGCAGTAGGTCTAGCCCTAAGAAAAGTTTGTAAGCTAATGCGAGCCAGATTCCCAATAACGCTCCTTAAACCTTTGAGATGGAACAGGTTTAAAGCATTTACCTGAGGAGTGTTTGACTGTCCGGCCAAATACAGCAGACTGGTGAAAAGGGCAGAGATCAGGGAGGTGATTGCGACACTCTTATCAGTCAGGCGTTTATGGTTGAGTAGCTAGACAGAAGCTCTTGGAGAGTGAAAGGGATATTACAGCCATCTGGTTGTGTGCCAAGTAATGCTTAAGATGAATCTGAGGAACATCATTTAAAAGTCTGACAAAAATGTTGAATATTGGCCTGAATGCAAAGTCCTGCCTGGGGTCACCTGGTAATCAGATCCCTTTTAAGAATATTTTTTGCTATGAGTATGCCTCTTAGAACCAGGGACTGTGAGACACGATGAGAGAATGATGCAGAGACCCTTGAAGGAAACCTGCTTCATAGTGCACATTTCAGCACAACAGACAGCCAAGACACCCTGAGGTGGTTAAAGCACTTAAAAACTGGCATATTGTCAACAGAATAACAAAATGTCAGTAATTCTTCATCCTAAGACCTTGAGCTGTTGATAATTCATGAACAGCTGAGTGACCTGTCAATCACAAGGTAGCCACGCCCAAAGGCATAAGCAGCTTTATCATATATTTTACTCTAAATCTGACCATAATTTACTAAATGAACATTGTGTTGTGTGGAAGAATTCTTGAAACTAGAGATTGAGAGCATACACTGATTAGGAACCTGTTTACTGAACTAATAAATCAGGTGAGAAGTTCGCTCCTTTCTCCATTAGACTGTATGGTATCAGTGTTTTATTGCAGCTAATGGAGCTCCCTCTGCTGGCCTTTACATAGAATGCAGGCTTAAAGACACTTGCGCATCAGCTTCACTTTACACACCCGGTAGCTCTGTCCATTATATATACATTGTCAATGTTGTGGTCGCACATCCGCTGTCATAAACAGTAGCATTAGTTATTACTTTGGCACGAATACTTTGAATACTTAATAATAATAATATTCGCTCTAAATAGTTTCATTTACAGCCTCTATAAACACTGATAAGGTGATGCAAATGTACCTTGATGAACATTAAAATGAGGTGGAGAATTAAAATGGTGAGAAATAAATGAGAAAAGTCAAATTCTGTCTAACAGTCTCGTCTCTCTTGTTTTTCCAGGTTTGTGTATTAGACCTGAGGAAATGACACTCGTCTGGGGGAGCCATGGACCGACTACGAATGTGTACATAGCCAAAATGACTGACTGTCCCTGCCTGTCCACCACACTGCTGTAGTCCCATCAGATGCCATGGCCCGCCATTACAGCCTGGAGCGCCTCCCGCCCCTATATGTTCACACAAGGACCACACCTTTGCCACATGCAGTTCTTATGCACATGCGTCAGACATACAACAGGTCTGTATGGACACTTGTGTTGCTCTCACAGACCTGCAGGAAGAAACATTACTCTGTTATCACGCAGTACAAACTTGTTGGACCCATCACATACAAACCAAAACACCAGGATCCTTCTTGCTTTCCTCTTTTTATCCTTCGTACCAGAATTCTTTTTTTTTTTTGTTCTCTGTTGGTGTGTGCATATTGCATATGTCAGCATTTGGTGTCCTATGGACATTGTTGTTTTGAATTTGGATTTTACTGATCTCTGTGGGTTTTATATTACATGTGGGGTGAGAGAGAAGAGAGGGGGAGGGGTTGAGAGTTGTTTGTCTTTTACAATGGGTGTTCAAAGCTGTTCATTGGGAGATCCATTCATCTACTTCTTGGCACTCTTTAAGATTCAAAACATGCAGCTGTATAGCTTAGAAGATGAAATGGTTTATAATTTTGTCAACTCTATTTTTATCCAGTAGGTTTGTTCCATTTTTGCCATTTTCTTAACAAAAAATATAAAGCAGTTAATCAAAGGGTGAACTGTCGTTTGTTTTTGCAACTTTTATCCTCAGAAATGGTTTTCAGGTGTTCACAATTCATCAGGTTAATATAGAACTCTAAAGAATTCAAAACCTCTTGGCTGAAAGATAATCTTTGTAGCTGTTAAAACACCTTGTCCATCTCCTGTTCTAACCATGTGCTGGGCAGTAAGACATCAACGCTGATGTGCAGTCAGCTTCAGGTTTCTGTCACTGAGCTCGTCCTGGATCTGTGTCTCAAGCTTATGAATAGACGGCTGTGCTTTAGTGTTTAGTAGTGAGGTAACGCGGTGCAGGGATTGCTTGCTTTTTGGCATCAGTGCAGCTTCTGGGATCTGTGGGGGGAGAGGGAGAGAGAGAGAGAGATACGGGAAAACAGGCCCACAATTGCTCGCATCGATCTGATGTCAATAATTAATAACCATAATTGTGTTTGTTTCCTCCACTAATGGCTTTTTGCTAACCAATGCTGGATGATAATCAGATAGAGCCGTTCAAATAGTTTCCCCATGCTTGGTCCTTAAACATCGGGACATCATCTGGAGTGTCACATCCTCTGCAGGCACAGGGTCTTTGAATAGCACCTTTTTAAATGTGGCTCAACATTCGCTCGCGTCAAAGCTGAATCAGCTGATGAACAGAGCAGGAGGTCACACATCAGTCTGTCACGTTGAGCAGTTGTTTCACGGCCTGATTCTCACTCTGTTACATGTGCGGCTCTCATGTCCAGTGCTGACCTAAGTACACACTACAGTCCCTGCTTTGGTTTGCTGTTGTCTGGCAGTCCAGCATTAACACACACACACACACACACACACACACACACACACACACACACACACACACACACACACACACACACACACACACACACACACACACACACACACACACACACACACACACACTGGAGACGGGCTGTGTTCAGGCCTATGCACCGATAGACGGCGCTTTTGTTTGTAGTGTTCAGAGTTGGCGTTTTGAGGCAAGTCTGTGCTTTTTGTTCAAAAGCAGACTTGCAGCATATGACTTGATGTAACATGGTATCATATAATATATATATATATAAATATAAATATAGATCTGTGCTATCACAGGGGATTCTTTTGTATGCCACTCGTACGCTAAGGGTGGATTTTAAAGTTACTTTTTGAAGACCCTTGAAATATGTGATGGTCTTGTACATCACATGGGGTCGTGACCATAAGGAATGGTTTTTTATAAAATACCATTAAACAGTCATAGCGAAATAAAAGAAAAAGAGCAGCCCTTCGAAGGGTGTTTTTCTTCTGCACTTTAGACTAAAAATGGAGAAACAGGGAGGTGTGTTTGTTCAAGCCATCGTCGACACATCTAATGTTTAAATTGCTCTTAAAGATGAATCAGAATCGATGCAGAAAACGTGCAGTGTTCCAGAGGCTAAATAAGGGTGAATAGTGTCCTGTCTGACTCCTCGGGGTACGTCAAAGTTGAACCAAGCCAACTTCATGGCATTCCAGGTCTCATCTCGCTAATGGTTTGATACACACATGCGTCGTCGGACATTTCAGTGGTTTCGTTCCGAATGTTCCTTGTTTTAGAAAATTTTGTACTGAAGCTAAAGACTATTTTGAAGTTTGCTTTAATACAGTCAGCAGTGATTGGACTGTACCACAAAGACACTATTTCAAATGATGTCTATGACAGTGGAATGGTATTTTATAAGGTTTTGTTTTTAGATGATAAGCTTTTTACACTGCATTCAAGTGTGTTTGCTATTTTTTGTTCCTACCGAAAGTACTAACGTTAATTCTATCTTTGCTATGTTGGAGAGCCCTTGAAGGTTTTGTACTCCTCAAAACTTTTGTAATTCTGATTTATTTGTAGTTACGTACACGAAATGAACAAAAATATAAAATCTGGATTTAATTGTTGATGTATTATAACACAGAACATGTAAATACCAATTTGCAGATTTGTTTTTTTGTGTCGTCTTTGCCCTCACCTATGTTGTACTCTCTCTCTCTCTCACTCACTTGGTTGCAGTCTGCAGCCTCCTGATCTGACTGTTGAAATATCACTCAAGATTTCAAGGTCTAGAATAAAATCTATTTTGATAATATTATTGTCTTTGCTTTTAATTTCCACGCTGCTGCACAGACATGGTTTCTTTAATTGAGGGAGTGTTTATGTATGGGAAGCACACAATGGTGCAAACTGTGTCATGTCATGCATTCAAAGGACAAACCAAAGTAAAATACAACAGGCAGTTTTCAGTTTTGAGCCACGCTGGTAACGTGGCTCCAGGTATCGCAGCGTTGGTTGGTCTGTCACTTCAATAAAAATCAACAAATCTTGGATGGATTGCCATGAAATTCTGCACAGGCATTTATGTTCCTACCTCCATCGTAAGGTCAAAATGTTGCCCAATACTTTAATAATGATGGAAGGTGATAAGGTTTGCCGGTATTCAGCCATACTGCCATGTGTTTTGTGGCAAATGCTAGCATGCTAACCTACTAAGATGGTGAACATGGTACACAATACATACACATAAAAAGCTCAATGCACTGCTGTTCCTGTAAGTACAGCACCACAGAGCTGCTAGCTGTAGGCTCAGTCTTGTTCAAATGATGTGGTTACAGGCAACAGGCAACAACCACTTCCTCTGTTAAACATTGCGGTGTGAGCTATGGAAAAAGTTCAATAGGCTAAATGTGCTTTTAGCAGCCTTTTTGAATGTCATTTAGATTATAAAGCACTTAGAAGAGACATTAGACAGGAGTTCGCCTAATACGTCTACTTCCTCTTTTTACTTTTCTTCGTATTTTCCCCAGGTTCTTCACTTAACCTCTGTCATTACAGCTGCTGTTGTTCCTGTCTAGAGATGATGATATTCTGTGTGGATAGTCTGCGTGGATCCAGCCTGGAGACTCAGGTTACAATAGAAAGAATGCTGGTGTTATGGTGTGTAATATTTATTGTGGGAAAAATAAGCGGCCCGTTTACAGAGAAAGTTCCCATTGAGTTTGCACAATCGTGTTCTGCATCCCAGCTCTTGAACTGCTACCTATTGTTTGTTTACTCTGTGTTCAAAAGCTGGCAGCCTCACATGCTCTAACTGTGGCAACTATAACAACACAGGACAAAAGACAAACCACTTGTTTAAAACAATGTGACAGTGCGTATCGCCAGTTTACACGATGATGGTATGGGTGGCGTTACCAAAAGATTGCGCTCTGGAACCTGGTTTCAGAAGTTGCATTTTCAAAAACGGTGTTAACATGTGGACGAAAGGCAAAACTGCAACAAAAGTTTTATGCAGAACTGTTTCAGAATTATATAAAAGATGGCAAGAAACAGAAAACATCACTTAAAATGCTACAGAAGTAGCATATGTGTACCTGCGTTGTGTTAGTTAATGGTTGCCAGGGCATCAAATAAGTTGAATAGATTGTTTGATTGTGGTTGCTGCTTGGTTGTTATGGTGATGATAATGCACCATTCATATACTGTGGGACTCTCCATAATTACCTGATTCTGATCTGTTCCTGTCATCTTATATATCATAGCTGCAGCTAAATAACGCTACAACTATCTCATACTGTAATTCAGTATCTAAATGAGTGTTTGTAGAAGCCTGCAGTGTGCGTTGAAACAGTTGTAATAAATCATACTGAACTGAACTCCGAGCACAACTCCAATAAAAGGCCTCATCAGTCCGAGTACTTCCCAAATCAAGTAGTTATCTTGTAAATTTAGTCTGTTTAGTATAAAACCCCCCTTTGTTTTACTGTCCCTCTGTCACAGCCCAATAAGTAAACACAACTTGTAACTTATGATTTGACTCATCTTCAGAAGCATTTTTACCTAGAAAGAGGATTTTCTATCTCTTACCATGTGTTGGAGTTGCAGAATGTATGTAACAACCAAGTATTTGTGTAGTTATGTGTAGTGCCCACACAAGCTTTACATACCTCTTTACATGATGCATTAGTCATGCACTCAGCAGGACTTGCCTGCTTTTTTCTGCGGTCTTCCACATCTGTGACCTCCAGACGAACATTTCTTCTAATCAGGTCATTTGGTATATTTTGTAGGTATTTACTGTGAAATTCTGGGCAGCTGCACTGAAGGAGCTTGGAATTTTTGGAGATTGCTTATTTATTTTGTCTGTGCTTAATGAAGAGTAAGTGGAGAGAGAGTACACGCAGACAAATGTATAACTACATCAGGGTATGCAAATGGGGGTTGACCTAGTGGCCACGTTACGGAGTAACTTAACGGGTAAATGTCAGTCTAAATATAAAGCCAGAAACATCTCAGAGTGAACCAGATGCAAAATTAGATCTATATTTTACAACTACTACTACCATACTTTAAATGGACTGGTTGCACAGCAGACATTTAGAAACGGCTCAGTTCCATGAAGTGTCCCAGTAGCAGTGAAAGTGAACCAGCAAGCACAATAGCAGGACCTCCACTAAGTGGAATGCAGCTATTATTAATATACCAGTGAAATTCCTGCTATTACATGTCTACATATCTGCTGTGCAACCAGTCCATAGCTACAGTAGTAATGACAAACTCAATTACTAAAACAAAAAAACACGTAAAAAAGGAAAGTGGCAGGTCATTCAGCAGGTTGTTCCAGAGTCGTGGCGCCCTGACTCCAAAGGTTAGGCCTCCTCTGGTTTTTAGCCTCGACCTAGGAATTACTAACATACCTCTGCCGGAGGATCTCCAGCTGCATTCAGGCTGTAAGTGGTCAGTAAGTTAGTGAGGGTTAGTTAGTTAGTAATCTGGGCTAGTGGATTTTGTAAGTAGTCTTGCTGCAGCATTTTGAACTAATTGAAGATTGGAAAGGTAATCGGAGTACAGCGAGTTGCAGTAGTCTTAGTGGGATGCAATGAAAGCGTGAATGACCTGCAGAGGCGTGAAGTTACAACGTACAAATACTTTGTTGCTGTTCTTGAGTAGTTTTTTTTTAGGTATCTGTACTTTACTTCATTAGTTATTTTTCTTGCAGTAAATGCAATAAATATATTCTTAAAAAAAAAATTGGACACTGATTACAATTACAAAATATTTGACATAGAACATATAAATGGAGAATAATACGCGGAGGAAGAATTCCTTTTAGAAATGATGTTGGTGGACGCTGAGTATTGACTGACTTAAATGCTAGAAGAGTGTTTTACAGCAAAGGTCTGAGAAAGTTTGAGAAGGAAGGATTATTGTATGCCCCACAGCTTGAACGTTATTAGAGAAGAACTGATAAAAACTCTTCACATTTATTGACTGAGGGCTCAGTAGAAAGAGGATTTGTGGTTTGGCTGATAATATGATAATATGGAGTCTTGATTACTTTTGGCTATAAGATCAGAAAAACAGTTAAAAGTTAGCATTTCCCATGACATCCCTTCAAGTGGAAAGTTTTGTAACCCTCCATTCTGCAGCCTGACAAGTTCAGTATCATCTAAAATAGTCGCAAGAATTTCCCTCAGGGTGAATTTTAAAAATGTGAGTGAGTGACTATTGCCTCACAGCTGTCTTTATGTTTACAAACCCAGAGGAAAATAAAACATGGTCCAGGGTGTGGCTCTTTTTGTCTATAGCTTCAGTTTGAGCCCAAGCAAAATTTGAATAATTTTTAAAACATTTAAATAATCCCGAAGTTGAGAAAATTATTCTACAAACAGGCGTGTGAATGCCATAAAATGGAGGCAGTGTTCAGTTGGTATATTTCCAGTTGCACTTATGGTTAGTATTTTGTGTGATTACCTAAAGTCTATTGGTCAGAGACTACAGCCACGCCAGCACCTCTGCTGATTAGATGTTATAGTGTTGTTGTCAACGTTCACCATCTTAGTTTACACTAAATACAAAGTACATCTATTTCATTAGATAAATGAAGACTTTGACCTGCTGGTGGTGACAGGGGAAAGGTAAGAGGATGATCAAAGGCGTTAGGATTCATCCTCTGGGCACAATTTCACAAAAATTCATTAGTGTTTCAAAGTCCAGACTAGAACGGTGAACCAACTGACAAATTGACATTATCATATACTTTCTATTTTTTTCTCAAAAAGTAAAAAAATAAATAGATGTTTTTCACAGTAGTCTGCTCATCTGGTGTTGTACATGATAACACTCTGTATAAGTAGGTGACCTGTTGTGTATTTGCATTGCCTCTTTATCGGGGCAGTCCCTTTGTCCCAATAAACATGAAATGAGAGGAGAGAGCAACAGTGAAGAGGGGATTGTGGAAAGTAGGTACAGTATTTTCTGAATGTTGATATAGAGAATATATTGTATTTACACTTACAGCTTCTTTTTCCATAGAAGGAAATTCAAAGTAGATAAATTGGGGGTGCTTTGAATATGCTTGTTTCCCTCTACGTAGCACATGTTATATTCAAATCTCTAAGTAGTATACCAAAAAGCTGTACAAAATAACTTTACTTATACAGGAAATGAAACCACAGTTGAACTGGATGCACACATCAGTGCACAGATACACTGCCTTGAAAAAGTATTTGCACCTCTCCTGATTTTTCAATTTCTTTCAATAAATGAAATAATTATTTAAAAACTGTATTTTGTGTTTAATCAGGTTGACTTGGTCTCATAATCAATTTTGTTTGAATAAAGAAAACTGAAACATTTAAGTGTGAGAAATGTGCAAATATAGAGGAAATCAGGACGGCCACAGATACTTTTCCAGTGTCACTGTAGTTTTGTGGATGCTTTTGAAAACGATGTCACAAAGATGAGGGCAGGCCTTCCTTTCATCATTTTCTCCACCCTCTTTCTACTAACATCTACATACACTGCCCGCCCCCACACTGAAAGAGGAAGGAAGGGGAGAGAACCAAGGCAACCGGCAACTTACAGTCTACACACTCAGAGAGCAGAAGAATCAGAAAAAGCACACTCACTCACAGATATTCTCACACACACGGTTTCACTGTTAAACCAGGGATTGATGCCTGCTTCTGACAAAAGTGTCACCTCCTGTCATCCGAAGGAAAAGTAAACTTCAAGCAGAGAAGAGGATCTGTGCAGTAGAGAGGAAGACTCAGTGGGGAAAGGTTGCCGCCTCTGTTTCGGATTCACACA